TACTTTGCAAATGCAACTTATTTCTATGTGAAATCTGAAATTGTCTATTCATTCCTTTTCCAGTTTAGTAGACACATACAGTGCTATCGGAAAGTATTCAGACCCCTTTACGTTTTCCACATTTTGTTACGTTACAGCCTTATTCTAAAATGGATTAAATTAGAAAATGTCCTCAGCAATCTACACACAATACCCCATAATGTCAAAGCGTAAACAGGTTGTAAGATTACAAAAAATAAATACCTTATTTACATAAGTATTCAGACCCTTTGCTATGAGACTCGAAATTGAGCTCAAGTGCATTCTGTTTCCATTGATCGTCCTTGATGTTAAAATCAATTGGCACACGCCTGTCTATATAAGGTCCCACTGTTGACAGTGCATGTCAGAGCAAAAAACCAAGCCATGAGGTCAAAGGAATTGTCTGTAGAGCTCCGAGACAGGATTGTGTCGAGGCACAGATCTGGGGAAGGGTACCAAAACATTTCTGCAGCATTGAAGGTCCCCAAGAACAGTTGCCTCCATCATTCTTAAATGGAAGAAGTTTGGAACCACCAAGACTCATCCTACATCTGGACGGCCCCCGGCCAAACTGAGAAATCGGGGGAGAAGGGCCTTGACCAAGAGGTGACCAAGAACCCGATGGTCACTCTGACAGAGCTCCTCTGTGGAGATGGGAGAACCGTCCAGCTGTCATAAAGGCAAATGGTGGCAATTTTAAGAATCTCAAATATAAAATATAGTTTGATTTGTTTAACACTTTTTTGGTTACTACATGATTCCATATGTGTTATTTCATAGTTTTGATGTCTTCACTATTATTCTACAATGTAGAAAATAGTAAAAAAGAAAGAAAGAAAAACCCTTGAATGAGTAGGTGTGTCCAAACTTTTGACTGGTTTTGTATATAAATTATTTGTTTCAGGGGGTGCTTCAGCACCCCTACTTCCCGCGGCTATGTATATATGTATAACTTTATGAGCTGGATTGCCTGTCTTTGCAATTCATTTAAATTTCGTTTGTCCTCGTTAGCGTATTTAGCTAGCAGCCTCCATGGAAATTCTCTATTACTTGTGCTAATTTGTTAGTATTCTGGTAATAAACGCCCAATGAGCTTTTTTTTGCGTTATTTGGTTCCCCCCTTGTGTACTAAGCCGGTAATACCATAAATCCCGGGGTGTTAGGTCAATATGATAATCTGGATACCGCCCAACCCTACTTCACAGGCTCATAATGAAACTGCAGGAGGGACATTTGACTGCATCTGATATTTAAGAGTGTGTGTGCCTGTGAGAGGAAGCGAAAGTGGGGAGGGGGAGGGAGAAAGAGGGCCAGAGTGATGACAATTAGATCTAAAATAAACTGACGTGTGTTTGTGTGCAGACTGAAGTAGCTCGTGTTGACAGGAAGTTGGTCGAGTTGAAATATCGATAGTACTTAAGTGCTGCTAACACCTCATAATGTGTTTGTCTGCTCTAAAGTAGCAGGGTTGGAAATTAACACCTGCCAAATGCGGGTAGGTTTTGTCATTGGCAGGTAAGAATGTATTTTTCACCAGCCGGTCACACACAGCGTTGTACTCCTTGTAAAAAAAATGTCAGCGTAGAGCCCTGAACTATAATAATAAATAAGCTGTATCACTTAGCATTTTGTGGCAGGGTAGGCACTTTGTTGATTCTTGTTGTTGTAGAACTGTTTTATCTGTTTTTACTATTGTATCAAAATTATTTATTTTAACATACATTGGTTAAAAGACACAGGTCATAAAAATGTAATTAAATGTAGCAATATATCCCATTACTTCTTACTAGTAAGACATTTCTTGTTTTAGAAAAACAAAGCATGCTCATCCTTTTTTTGTGTGTAATTATGGCGGGGGAAAACAATTTGGCTGGTAAAAAATTAGGCTGGTTAATGTTATTATAATTTTTATCTGCCTGCCAGGCTGGTGGACCAAAAAGGTAATTTCCCACCTTGCTGCAGACTAACCTTTTCCCCTGGTGCCCACTAATCTTTTCCGTTGGTGGCATCAGCCCATGATTTGGTAGCACCATTTATTTTGCAGCCTCATGGAATAGGAAAAAATAAGTAATCATCTTATAAAGTCATTGAAAGTACTTTATTAAGAGGTGTAATCGACTACTGAGATGGTATTCAAGAAATGCGTTGTTTTATCGAACATGTCCATGCAGGAATGCATTATTCAATAGTTTTTATGTGCAACCTAATCAAGTGATTGTCATGAATTTTGCTATTGTTATATTTGACTGTTAAAATAGGGCTCCAGAATGCTAAAAGAAAATGGTATTTTGTTCTATAGAGATGAATTTGCCTACATCTTTATGTGCACTAATATCATTGGCTTATTTATTTGGGGCTAATTCACCACCTGAGTAAGTGGAAACTCAACACATTAGCTAGACCGAGGTTGGAATGGCTCGCTCATCACAGAACCAGGCCCCAGCAAAACAGACGACACAGTGCAGGGCAGACACTTTCATTACAGGAATCATAAGGATAATGCACATTACTGTTTGACCAAGTCATGGTTTTAGCCTCCTAAAAAAAGAGGCCTTTTGGAGTGTGGTGACCATGTAGAATGTGCAGCTCGCACTGATGCAACCAATACATTTTGGAGCAAGTCAAAGGGTCACAAAATGTGTCTAAATGGTGGCAGTCTGGAGCCCTGAGCAGGTTTGTTTCTCTTGAGCGTAAATGTGGACAAGTGTTTTTCCTGCTTAAATACGTGTGTGTGTGTGTGGGGGCGGTTTAAGCATGGACACGCATTTTTTTTGTTATGATTGAACACTTCCTGAATAGTGAAAAGAGAGATGGAAGGACGGAACAGAGAGAGAGCGAGAGGATGGGGGGGGGGGGGGGGGGGGGTTGTCTACATGGATATATTGAAGGAAAGACATTGTGAGCCGGAAGAGCAAGAGAGCCAGGGGGAGAGAGACAGGAGAAAGACAGGAGTGAGAAAGAAAGATAAATTTAGCCTCCTACATCAAAGGACTGGGGTGAACGAGTGGAGATGGATGGAGGAGAGGTGTGTCTGTGCGTTAGGAAGACTTAATCAGCAGGTTATATTTAGCCAGTTCAGGTGATTCCAGTAATGACACAAAGCACAGAGAAGCATATGTTTCATCCTAGGAGTGTGTGTGCGGGTGTTTGATGTGTGCGTGTTTGGTGTGTGTTCTCTGTGAGGCCATTTGTTGAATTAGCTAGTGAGTGCTGAAGGGATTTAAAGTTAATCCCTGACTCCAGTGACAGAAAATCTCTCTTCCCCCCCTTATTCCACTGAAGAACACCCACCACGCCGTGTGTGTGTGAGCGCGTGCGTTGCATGCACAAACGCCCTCTCTGCAAACAAGGATCCTCTCTGCACACACTAATCCTGATGTGAGTTTGTGCGAGTGTGTAAGTGTTTGTGCGAGTGTGTGTAGAGGTCGCAGTAAGGCAAAATTCTTGTTCCCTGGTGTGTGTCTGTCTGTCTGTCTGTCTGTCTGTCTGTCTGTGTGCCACTCTGACAGGAACAGAGGAGGACGGGGAGGGGGGGGGGCTTGGCCTGGAGAGGAAATGATGCGTAGGGTCTGGAGAACAGATAAAGGAGAGGGGGAAGGGGAGAGAAGAAATTAGTTTGTTTTTCTCTCTCTCTCTCTCTCTGTGTGTCTGTGTGTGTGTGTGTGTAAGTAGCGCTGGTCAGATAGAGATGCCATTGCAGAAAGAAGACCCACACTCACAAACACACAAGGAAGTATGTAGTGGTGGGGAGGGTTTTAGCTCTGTGTCAAGGCCTTATGTACATGTACTTCAGAGGGAAATCTGATGATTCACTCATCACAATGTACATCAATCCAGTCACCTCTCTGCCTGGACAATCTCACTGTCTTATGCTGCTATAGCTCAGCATCAAATGGCATCTGCCACAACACCTCCTTTTTAAATGGGTTTGTGTGTCTAATAACATGAGCCTGTGTAGCTAGCTAATCAAATGGTGTCTCTTCAGACAGTGCCTTTTAACTGAAACAATGAGACAAATGAAAAGAGATGAGGTGCAGTTCTCTCCGTTCTGAGGTAGTAAACAGTGCATCATTCTCCACTCCCCCCTTTTTCTCTCTTGCCCTCTTTCTCTCTGAGAGGTTGTGAAGAGACACTGCTCATGACAGCTCAGTTAACATATGTGACGTAATGCGCTATTTTCGGGGACCACTTTTGGCTCGTGAACACTACTTTCAGAACTACTGGCTAAAAAAGTATACAAAAGTACCCAAGAATCTCTTTAACCGCAGCACACTCGGTCTTCTGTGTGTGTTAGCCGAAGTGTATTTGTGTGCCTGCATAGTGTGTGTGAGTGTACTCTGTGTGTGTGGTGTTAATGTGAGATGACCCCATGCTTTAAATAACCTTGTCTTCCTGTGTTAGGCAGGCCAGCGTTGACTGTTGTGTTGTTGCTGTGTAGAGTGATAGTCCCACAATCGTAGGGAAGAGAAGAATGCCAATTAACAATCTAACATCCTCTCTTTTCCCTGCTCCCTTCTCTTCTCTCATCTACCAGCCTCCTTCCTAACGTCCTCCTCTACCTTTCCTTCTCCTCTCCCCTAACCGCTAGTAGCCAAGGTTTCTACCTAGGTAGGGTTTTCCACCTGGTCATTGTCACCTGTGCTTCCTGGTGGATGATAAGGCCTAGTCAATCAATTTATCAGATTTCATCTTATAGTGCGTCATTGACTTGATCTGTATTGCTCTGCTCCCTGTGTTTTTAGGGAAACTTGTTATTACCGTCTGTAAACCCATACTACTAGTTCTACCACTGGGGGGGGGGGGTGCTTGTTGTTTTCTTCTCAGAGGGGTGTGCCCGACCGCATATGTGTTGTTTTGTCTCTGCAAGGTTGTTCCTGTGTCATCTCGTTAGCTGTCTATTTTAGCAGCAGTAATGCTAATTGGCTAATGCCACAGGGAGAGACGGAGACACGTACTGTGAAGGCAACGAGTTGGTTACCATGGCAACCCCAGGGCTAGTTTCTGCGAGCTGTTCAGATTGGTTCCAGATGGTGTGTGTGTGTGTGAGTGTTTTTAGTGTCAGTGATATGTAGATAATATGCAGACAGTAGATGTGTGAGATGAGACGGCTCTGTCGTAGCCGGCCGCGACCGGGAGACCCATGGGGCGGCGCACAATTGGCCCAGCGTTGTCCAGGGTAGGGGAGGGAATGTAGCTCAGTTGGTAGAGCATGGCGTTTGCAACGCCAGGGTTGTGAGTTCGATTCCCACGGGGGGCCAGTATGAAAAATAAAAAAATTATGTATGCGCTAACTGTAAGTCGCTCTGGATAAGAGCGTCTGCTAAATGACTAAAATGTAGATGATGACACTGTCACTCCCTGTCATTGTGGTCCATTTGAGGCACATTACAGACTCTGTGATAGGGAATTGGCTCAATGAGATGAGTAGAGCCATGTTCTCTTATTAAGGCGAATCCACTACAGGCCTCGAAGGAAAAGGGTGTGTGCGTGCATGCGGAGGTCAACTCCTACAGTTAGTTCAAAGCACATGAACACACACACACACACACACACACATACACACACTAAAAATCCAGAATTGTATAATTGATATCCTATTGTCAAAGAAACAACCCAGTGTAGGTGTGTGTGTATTCTCGCTGACGGTGTGTGTTTCTCTGTTTCAGGTTTTCTGCTGTTCAAGGATTTCTGTTTGACTGAAATCGACGAGGCCGTACCACAGCTCAAGTTCTACGAAGAGGTAAGAAACATACTCTACATGACCAAAAGTATGTGGACACCTGCTCGTCGAACATCTCATTCCAATATCATGGGCATTAATATGGAGTTGGTCCTCCCTTTGCGGCTTTATCAGCCTCCACTCTTCTGGGAAGGCTTTCCACTAGATGTTGGAACATTGCTGCGGGGACTTGCTTCCATTCAGCCACGAGCATTAGTGAGGTCGGGCACTGATTTGGGCGATTAGGCCTGGCTCGCAGTCAGCGTTCCAATTCATCCCAAAGGTGTTCGATGGGGTTGAGGTCAGAGCACTGTGCAGGCCAGTTGCGTTCTTCCACACCGATCTCGACAAACATTTTTGTATGGACCTCGCTTTGTGCACGGGGACATTGTCATGCTGAAACAGGAACGGGCCTTCCCCAAACTGCTGCCACAAAGTTGAAAGCACAGAATTGTCTAGAATCTCATTGTATGCTGTAGCGTTAAGATTTCCCTTCACTGGAACTAAGGGGCCTTGCCCGAACCATGAAAAACAGCCCCAGACCATTATTCCTCCTCCACCAAACGTTACAGTTGGCACTATGCATTTGGGCAGGTAGCGTTCCCCTGGCATCCGCCAAACCCAGATTTGTCTGCTGGACTGCCATATGGTGAAGCGTGATTCATCACTCCAGAGAACGCATTTCCACTGCTCGAGAGTCCAATGGCGGCTAGCTATACACCACTCCAGCCGACGCTTGGCATTGCGCATGGTGGTCTTACGCTTGTGTGCGGCTGCTCTGCCATGGAAACCCATTTCATGAAGCTCCCGATGAACAGTTATTGTGCTGACGTTGCTTGCAGAGGGAGTTTGGAACTCGGTAGTGAGTGTTGCAACAGAGGAGTGACGATTTTTACGCACTTAAGCACTCTGCGGTCCTGTTCTGTGAGCTTGTGTGGCCTACCACTTCGTGGCTGAGCCGTTAATGCTCTTTTGATGTTTCCACTTCACAGTAACAGCACTTACAGTTGACCGGGGCAGCTCTAGCAGGGCAGAAATTTGACGCACTGACTTGTTGGGAAGGTGGCATCCTATGACGGTGCCACGTTGAAAGTCACTGAGCTCTTCAGTAAGGCCATTCTACTGCCAATGTTTGTCTATGGAGATTGCATGGCTGTGTGCTCGATTTTATACACCTGTCAGCAACGGGTGTGGCTGAAATAGCCGAATCCACTAATTTGTGTCCACATACTTTTGTACATAGTGTCTATCGTTCAATCTGTCTGCCTCTACTCTCGCTCCTCGCTCTCTCTCACACACTCACTCACTCACGCTGGTCAGAGAGCAGGAGTCTAGTGTGTGTCTGTTGGATTTGTGGGCGTGTGAGACATTTGAGATTAGGCTAATTCCATGGTGTGTTTCAGAGGAAGTGTGTGTGTGTGTGTGTGTTAACCCCCTGTGTGTGTCAGATTAAGGACTATGAGAAGTTGGACTCTGAAGAGGAAAGGTTGTGCCGTAGCAGACAGATCTATGACGGATACATCATGAAGGAACTCCTCTCCTGCTCACATGTAAGGACACGTTGTCAACATGGGACATACACCAACACAGTGTAACAAACTCGCCTAACACTGTCAAACCCACGTCACCCTGAAATGTGTTATGTTCCTCTCAGGGAGGAAGTTTACATGAATACACACAATGGAAAACCCCAACTGAACTAAAACAGTTTACATGCCAAACTGCACTGGGAATTAGTCATTTATTGTCACACCGCTATATTTGTTTCATGACCCTCCTCTTTCTCTCCCTCTCCTCCACCCCCCATACTCTTGTTGATTCTCCCTTTCCCTCTGTTTTTCTCTCTCTCAGCCCTTCTCTAAGAAAGCAGTGGATCACGTTCAGACTCACCTGGCCAAGAAGCAGGTGCCCCCCTCTCTCTTCCAGGTGAGGAACACATTAACTAACTAACTCCCGTTTGTGTGTCTGTGCAGCCCCATATCAGGGATGCAAACTTTTCAGCAATATTTGCCGTTTTGGTTACAAAATAGGCCATCCACGTGAAACGTGTAGATCCGAAGAAAAAAGTTAGGATGGGATGTCATATCAGAGTGAGTGCTTCGTGGGCAGGCTCTGTCATCTCTCCACGGTACAAACTGGGGGGCTGTGCGCAATGTGAGAAGTGCTGAAACTGAAAGATTCACTTTTTAGAAGCGCACATGCATAGAAATTGGTGGAATTTACCCGAAAGTCTGCTAAAGTGTGACTTTGTCCTCGTTTCTTGGCTGTTTACATAGTTTTGTTCACACTAGGTTATTTTTCAATGTTAGTTTACGTTTGATGCAACTGCTAGCCAAGAGACCTCGGAGATTCTCCGCCGTTACCACGGCAATCTCCCGCTCTTAAAGGGGCAGCTGAATTTCTATTTTCAAGTGTGTATAATGTACTTGTTATTCTCTGAAAAGAAGCAAATGTTCTTGCACTTCACATGGATTTTTCTCGCGTTTCCATGTGTAAAGATGTTTTTGGGGCCCTCACCAGTTTGCATCCCTGCTACAATACCGGGTGTCGCACACACACACACACTCTCTCTCTCACACACACACACACTCACTAACTCCTGTTTGTGTTCAGCCGTACATAGTGGAGATCTGTGACAGCCTGCGAGGGATGATCTTCCAGAGGTTCATAGAGAGGTGAGATTGGGGTGAGGCAGGGGGGAAAGGGGGCGGGGGGGGGGAGGGGAAGGGGAGAAAGGGAAGGTGGTGGATAATGCCCAGAATAATTTGTTTCTTCATTAGCTCCAGATTTAGAAGAAAAGTACTTTAGTATCCATTTGTGTCGAAACGGAAATGAGTTTCTCCACACTCCCACGGTCTATAGGCCAGTTACTCGTCTACCTCTCCCACCTCTAGGCTAACCACTCTCTCTTTATCTTCATCTCTCCTCTTTTTCTCTCTCTCATCAGTGACAAGTTCACTCGTTTCTGCCAGTGGAAGAATGTGGAGCTGAACATCCATGTGAGTAACATTGCTGTGTATTATTCAGTGTGTGTGTATGTTACTCCTGTAAGCGTCCTGATGAAAAACCTTTCCATGAACCTTCATTATAAGCTACAGTCTGAAGTGTAACCTCACCCCCCCCCCCCCCCCCCCTCGCTCTCTCTCTCTCCCTCCCTCTTCATCTCTCTCGCTCTCTCTCCAGTTGACAATGAATGACTTCAGTGTCCATCGTATCATCGGTCGGGGGGGTTTCGGGGAGGTGTACGGCTGCAGGAAGGCTGACACCGGCAAGATGTGAGTAACGCAGCAACATAAATGGGGACAAGGAAAGATGGATGTAAAAGTGGAGAAAATGAACATCCACCGGACATTACATGAGGAGAGGAAAAAAGTACAAGAAGAGATCAAATATCCAACAGTAAGGTCAAAAAACATGTTCATGATTGTGTGTGTGCGTTTGTATCAGGTATGCCATGAAGTGTTTGGATAAGAAGAGGATCAAGATGAAGCAGGGAGAAACTCTGGCTCTGAACGAGAGAATTATGCTGTCACTTGTCAGCACAGGGGTACGTTCCGCACACACACACCTTTCCGTCAAGGCTCTGTGTATACATATACAGTATAGGTATATTCAAATACACAGCGCAAGGGAGTATCATTTTCAGATTGACCTATGTCTGACACTATCTAAGCACACACACAAACACGTTTCAGTCCAGAAGCTGTCTGTATATACAGTATACATGTATGTTCACATACACGGTACAGGGGAGTATCATTTTCAGATCTACCGGTCTGACTATCTTAGCACAGATGCACTCACACAAAGCTTTATGTTGAAACTCTGTCTATATATTAACAGTACCAGTCAAAGGTTTGGACACACCTACTCATTCAAGGATCTTTCCTTATTTTAACTATTTTTTACATTGTAGAATAATAGTGAAGACATCAAAACTATGAAATAACACACATGGAATCATGTAGAACCAAAAAAGTGTTAAACAAATCAAAATATATTTTATATTTGAGATTCTTCAAATTTCCACCCTTTGCCTTGATGACAGCTTTGTACACGCTTGGCATTCTCTCAACTAGCTTCATGAGGTAGTCACCTGGAATGCATTTCAATTAACAGGTGTGCCTTGTTAAAAGTTAATTTGTGGAATTTCTTTCCTTCTTAATTAATGTGTTTGAGCCAATCAGTTGTGTTGTGACAAGGTAGGGGGGGGGGGTATACAGAAGATAGCCCTATTTGGTAAAAGACCAAGTCCATATTATGGCAAGAGCAGCTCAAATAAGCAAAGAGAAACGACAGTCCATCATTACTTTAAGACATGAAGGTCCGTCACTATGGAACATTTCAAGAACTTTGAAAGTTTCTTCAAGTGCAGCCGCAAAAACCATCAAGCGCTATGATGAAACTGGCTCTCATGAGGACCGCCACAGGAATGGAAGACCCAGAGTTACCTCTGCTACAGAGGATAAATTAATTAGTGTTCACCAGCCTCAGAAATTGCAGCCCAAATAAATGCTTCACACAGTTCAAGTCACAGACACATCTCAACATCAACTGTTCAGAGGGGACTGTGTGAATCAGGCCTTCATGGTCGAATTTCTACAAAGAAATCACTACTAAAGGACACCAATAAGAAGAAGAGACCTGCTTGGGCCAAGAAACATGAGCAATGGACATTAGACCGGTGGAAATGTGTCCTTTGGTCTGGAGTCCAAATTGGAGAATTTTGGTTCCATCCACCGTGTCTTTGTGAGACGCGGTGTGGGTGAACAGATGATCTCCGCATGTGTAGTTCCCACCTTAAAGCATGGAGGAGGAGGTGTTATAGTGTGGGGGTGCTTTGCTGGTGACACTGTCTGTGATTTATTTAGAATTCAAGGCACACTTAACCAGAATGGCTACCACAGCATTCAGCAGCGATGTGCCATCCCATCTGGTTTGGGCTTAGTGGGACTATCATTTGTTTTTCAACAGGACAATGACCCAACACACCTCCAGGCTGTGTAAGGGCTATTTTACCAAGAAGGAGAGTGATGGAGTGCTGCATCAGATGACCTTACCTCCACAATCCCTCGACCTCAAGCCAATTGAGATGTTTTGGGATGAGTCGGACCGCAGAGTAAAGGAAAAGCAGCCAACAAGTGCTAAGCATATGTGGGAACTCCTTCAAGGCTGTTGGAAAAGCATTCCAGGTGAAGCTGGTTGAGAGAATGCCAAGAGTGCGCAAAGCTGTCATCAAGGCAAAGGGTGGCTATTTGAAAAATCTCAAATATTTTGATTTGTATAACACTTTTTTGGTTGCTACATGATTCCATAGTTTTGATGTCTTCACTATTATTCTACAGTGTAGAAAATAGTAAAAATAAAGAAAAACCCTTGAATGAGTAGGTGTGTCCAAACTTTTGACTGGTACTGTATGTATGTATGTATGAGGGGGGAAAAAGTATTTGATCCCCTGCTGATTTTGTACGTTTGCCCACTGACAAAGAAATGATCAGTCTATAATTTTAATGGTAGGTTTATTTGAACAGTGAGAGACATAATAACAACAAATAAATCCAGAAAAACGCATGTCTAAAATGTTATAAATTGATTCGCATTTTAATTAGGGAACTAAGTATTTTACCCCCTCTCAATCAGAAACATTTCTGGCTCCCAGGTGTCTTTTATACAGGTAACGAGCTGAGATTAGGAGCACACTCTTAAAGGGAGTGCTCCTAATCTCAGCTTGTTACCTGTATAAAAGACACCTGTCCACAGAAGCAATCAATCAATCAGATTCCAAACTCTCCACCATGGCCAAGACCAAAGAGCTCTCCAAGGATGTCAGGGACAAGATTGTAGACCTACACAAGGCTGGAATGGGCTACAAGACCATCGCCAAGCAGCTTGGTGAGAAGGTGACAACAGTTGGTGCGATTATTTGCAAATGGAAGAAACACAAAATAACTGTCAATCTCCCTCGGCCTGGGGCTCCATGCAAGATCTCACCTCGTGGAGTTGCAATGATCATGAGAACGGTGAAGAATCAGCCCAGAACTACACGGGAGGATCTTGTCAATGATCTCAAGGCAGCTGGGACCATAGTCACCAAGAAAACAATTGGTAACACACTACACCGTGAAGGACTGAAATCCTGCAGCGCCCGCAAGGTCCCCCTGCTCAAGAAAGCACATATACATGCCCGTCTGAAGTTTGCCAATGAACATCTGAATGATTCAGAGGAGAACTGGGTGAAAGTGTTGTGGTCAGATGAGACCAAAATTGAGCTCTTTGGCATCAACTCAACTCACTGTGTTTGGAGGAGGAGGAATGCTGCCTATGACCCCAAGAACACCATCCCCACCGTCAAACATGGAGGTGGAAACATTATGCTTTGGGGGTGTTTTTCTGCTAAGGGGACAGGACAACTTCACAGCATCAAAGGGACGATGGACGGGGCCATGTACCGTCAAATCTTGGGTGAGAACCTCCTTCCCTCAGCCAGTGCATTGAAAATGGGTCGTGGATGGGTATTCCAGCATGACAATGACCCAAAACACACGGCCAAGGCAACAAAAGAGTGGCTCAAGAAGAAGCACATTAAGGTCCTGGAGTGGCCTAGCCAGTCTCCAGACCTTAATCCCATAGAAAATCTGTGGAGGGAGCTGAAGGTTTGAGTTGCCAAACGTCAGCCTCGAAACCTTAATGACTTGGAGAAGATCTGCAAAGAGGAGTGGGACAAAATCTCTCCTGAGATGTGTGCAAACCTGGTGGCCAACTACAAGAAACGTCTGACCTCTGTGATTGCCAACAAGGGTTTTGCCACCAAGTACTAAGTAATGTTTTGCCGAGGGGTCAAATACTTATTTCCCTCATTAAAATGCAAATCAATTTATAACATTTTTGACATGCGTTTTTCTGGATTTTTTTGTTGTTATTCTGTCTCTCACTGTTCAAATAAACCTACCATTAAAATTATAGACTTATCATTTCTTTGTCAGTGGGCAAATGTACAAAATCAGCAGGGGATCAAATACTTTTTTCCCTCACTGTATGTATGCATATATATGTATATTCACATGCACAGCGCAAACATTTTCAAATTGACATATGTCTGACATTTTCTAAGCACATAAAAAAAAGCATCTATTCCCTCTTTCTCTCCCTCCACCCCTCCCTCTCTCTCTCTAGGACTGTCCGTTCATAGTGTGCATGACGTATGCTTTCCACACACCAGACAAACTCTGCTTCATTCTGGACCTGATGAACGGTAAGGTTCTTGACCACTTGCCTGCCGGGTTCTGGAAGGTGAAAGGTCACAACTGGTTCTACCAGTCAGCATGAAGAGTGTCATTGTAGAGGTCTGTCCCACTGAGCACTCCTCCACTTTGAAATGAGGAGCCTGTGAAGTACACTCTCACACAGAATGGGACAGGGCATCACTGATGGCTCTCTGCACTCTCTGGCTTGTCCTATGGTTAAGTAGGCTACATCTGCAGCTCCAGGCAGTCTCCAATGGATTCAGAGTCTGCAAGTGGTAGCACACTGGTCTGGGTTAACAGTCTGTTTTATCATTCTACTCCTTGCAACTCCTTGTCATGCTAAACATAGCATATGACACGAAGTATCAGGAGTGGGATGTTAGCTAAACAGACTGGTACCCAGACCCAGTAACACACACACACACATTGACAATGGGTCATATTTAGACAGCAGTTAACACTCTCACACTTTTCTACTTGGCCCATCTCAATTAGAATACAGCTCTAAACGTTCAGTAGGAGATCAGTGTGTGTGTGTGTGTGTCTCTGGGGTAATCTTCCATGGTTCCTCGTTCGCCCTCCGGAGTAGATCACCAGGAGTTCATTTAATAGATCATATTGATCAAGTCATAACTCTTTATTGGGTCATGCCGACTGTCACACGCTGAAAGATGTGTTGGAGGACTGGTATTAACTGTGTGTGTGTGTGTGTGTAGGAGGGGACCTGCACTACCACCTGTCTCAGCATGGTGTGTTCAGTGAGAAGGAGATGCGTTTCTACGCAGCAGAGATCATCCTGGGACTAGAACACATGCACAACCGCTTCGTAGTCTACAGAGACCTCAAGGTAGGACACCATACTCCATACCTCCCCTTTATCACCTCCCCCCGCTCTCCATCTCTCTTGCTCTTCCTCTCTCTCTCTTCCTCTCTCTCTCTCGCTCTTACGCTCTCTCTTCCTCGCTCTTTCTCACGCTCTTCCTCTCTCTCTCTCTCTCTTATGTGCTCTCTTAATGTGTTCCTCTCTGGTGTTGTTGAGTTCTCCTATTGATTCCCATGGATTGAGTATTCAGGAGTCACGAGCGGACATTGACGACACACCCAATCAATGAGCACATTCTAAGAACTGTTAACGGATACAAATCAATATTTCACATTTCTAGTTTGGCCTGGTCGCCGTTAGTAACAGTGTTGAGGTATGGCGTGTGTACATAATCAGATAGCAGCTTTGCAACTAGAGATAAACACATCTATCACACGCACTCTTCTTAGGAAAAATATAGCTTATACAAGCACAGTTTGTTGGTGTGCGCGCGAGTGTGTATGGGCGCGCGTGTGTTTGTGCTTCTAGATTTAGTAGCTAGTGTCTGGGCCAAATGGCTGAAGATAAGCAGGATAGAAAGAGAGATGCAGCGACACTTCCAATTTAAGTCTTTTCACCATGTCAGTTGATCACGTTTCAAACAGAAGTGCTGCTACTCTACTCTAGATCTGATGATATTGGACTTGTTGGCGTCTCTGAGCTAACTCTCCCTGGCGTTATTTCAAGGCCTTGTTTTTATACAAATATTTTCTACTTTGTTGTTAGATGTTAATAACCTCGCTTTCCCGCTCTCTTCTCTCACTCCCCCTTTCTCTCGCCCCCCCCCCCCCCCAGCCTGCTAACATCCTATTGGATGAGCATGGTCACGTGCGTATCTCAGACCTGGGTCTGGCCTGTGACTTCTCCAAGAAGAAACCTCACGCCAGCGTGTAAGTACCGTACCCTGTGTGTTTGTGTGGCATTACTGCAGTGTGTGTTACTAACAAAGTGTTCTGGTATATTGCAGTGGTACCCATGGGTACATGGCCCCGGAGGTGCTTCAGAAGGGTACGGCGTACGACAGTAGCGCTGACTGGTTCTCACTGGGCTGCATGCTCTTCAAACTGCTCCGAGGGTAAGAACACACGCACTCTTCTTTTCATCCCCACCTCTATTCCTTCATCAATCGTTTGATCCTTTCATTACTACTGCATCCCCTCTATCATTCTTTCTATCCTTGGCGCTCACCATCCACTACAACAGGTTACTCACTCACAGTACCTGTAGACTTCCAGTCTTTGCGCTAGTTAACATTGGCTCGCAAAACTACCGCTAACTTCCTTCATGCTGCACGCAGAGACACAGTAATGGTATCCACGAGTTCATCTGACTCTGGGTAAGTAGAACAATAAATGCCAGAATCGTCTAGTATCCCTTTAATTCCTCCATCTCTCTCACCAGGGTTCAGACGACTGCTTCCCCTCATCTCTCAAACTCTCTCTCTCCATTGATCGCTCTTCCCCTTTGATCCCTCCTTTTTCCAGCCTCGATTGTCTCTCTCTATTCTCTCTCTCTGTCTGTCACTGTCTCTCTCTATTTTCTCTTGCTGTTTCTCTTCTCTCCCCCACTCTCTGTTATCTGTTACCCCTTTTTGCCTTTTCTGTGTCTGTCCCTCTCACCCACTCCCTATCAATTTTTCTCTGTCGTGTGTGTGTTTGATGTGGTGTGTGTGTGTGTGACAGTGTGTTTCATGTGTAGTGTGTAAATGCCAGAGGTCTGGGCCCAGTACATCTGAGGGGTGTGGGGGGTGGTAACGGTTGCTAGGTATGGGTGTGAAGTGCATGGGAGGGAGGCTGAACTGTCGTTCCATTGATGTGTGTGTCTGTGTTTGAACACTTCAAAGTCGACAGAGAGGTGGGGGGGGTCAGAGAGGGAAAGAGGAAGGGTCAAAGAGAGGAGGAGACCGAGGGGCAGAGAGAGAGAGAATGATGCAAGTGTGATCTGCTTTTTCAACGTTGCAGGTGGATCTGCTGAGGACTAGGTTGCCACAGTGTGACATCACTCATATTACATCTATCTCTCTTTCACTGTATTCCTCACTCCTTCCCTTCTTTCAGCTCCGTCCTCTCTACAGTAACACTAACAGCTTCTCTTTCTCTCTCCATCTCTCTCTAGGCACAGTCCCTTCAGACAGCACAAGACCAAAGACAAACACGAGATTGACCGCATGACGCTCACTATGGTAAGGCCACCTTATACACACACACACTATAAGATATATTTTTGTACACTACAGTGCACACACATTGAGAAGTTTTAATGTACACTAAAACACACTGACATGTCTTATGTGCACACGACATGTGGTTAGTCCATGTTGACACAACACACACATATATATATATATATATATATATATATATATATATATAAGGTTTTATCCTTAAATACACTGAAACACTAGCGTGTGCGCACACAACATTATTACATATCCTGGGGAGATCATCTTCACAGATGTTGCCCAAAACTCCTGCCAAGTCTTTGTCTGATAATGCTCAGTGAATGAGTGAGAGGCAAGGGAGAGAGAGAGTGGGGGGGGCAGAAAAGAGAGCGAAGAGGTTCTGGCAGGAAAGCAAGGGTATTTGCATCCTAACTTTGCATCCCTCGCCCTGCCTGCTGCCAATAGCATCAGATTACACCACAGAGGGAGAGAGAGAGAGCGAGAGAGAGAGAGTGGGTCTCCTAGCATAGACTACGAGGGGAGGTCCAGACCAGGGCTGCCCAACCCTCTTGGGAAGCTACGCTCCTGCAGGGTTTTGTTGCAGCTGCTCTTCAGGACCATGATTAGCTGAATCGGGTGTTAGAGCAGGGCTGGCGCAAAAACCTGCACATTCAGTAACTCTCCTGGAGGAGGGTTGGTCAGCCTTGGTCGTGACCAGAATATGCCTACTATTAGACCACAAGATAATGTGGTGTCAGAGCAGAGGAAACACACACACACAACCCCTCTGTAAGGAGCGAGCTAAACAAGGACAGTATCTTCAATTGTGATCACATTCGGATTAGGATTTAATCCAACCACTTGATCGGAGTAAACCATGTAATCCCTGTCTCTCCCCCTCTCTCTCTGTCCTCAATAAGTCAGTCAGTTATGTTAATGAAATCTGATGAATGGTTTTATTAGATAAGAACGAGGGGGAGAATTATGGCAGAGGAGAGAGAGGGGGAAGGGGGTGGAGGAAGGAGGGGATATGCTATGGAACAAACACAGAATTATAGATCACACAATTATAGATCACCTCTATATTTTCAATGCATATTAGATACACTTTATTGGCATGATAAATCAAGTTAGTGTCTTGTGTTGTTATAGAGGAAATTGTACTACTCTCTCCCTGGCTTTCCTCCATCTCCATCACCCCCTCACTCTCCTCTCTCTCTCCTTCTAGAATGTGGAGTTGCCAGACTCGTTCTCTGTGGAGTTGAAGGGTCTATTGGAGGGTCTGCTGCAGAGAGACGTGGCCAAGAGACTGGGCTGCTTGGGACGAGGGTACACACTCACATCTGCTACTCCTTCCATTGTTTTTCACTCGTTGATGTTAATGTTAGGTCTTAGCTGAGTAAAGACATTTTAACCTTGGACTTCAGACTCATTGACAGTATTTATGTGCTGGGAGAGCCATTGTTTTCCAATGCAACATTATAGTTAAAACATGAGTTACTTGATTCAATCTTTCCATCACTTCTCTGTGGCGGGTATAACACCTAGTGTGAATACTATGAAAGGATTTTGTAAGGGTCCATAAACTAGTTTGTAGAGCTCAGTTCCATTAGGAGTTTGGTTCGCTGTGGTAAATACTGCCACCTGCTGTTTAGATGAGGAACTGTTCCAACATGAGAATGACCTGGCTTTTTCTCTCTCTCCCCCCTCTCTCTCTCCATCTACACACACACACACACACACACAGCGCCCCAGAGGTGAAGGAGCATCTGTTCTTCAAAGGCATCGACTGGCAGCAAGTGTATCTTCAGAAGGTAAGCCTTAGAGTTTGTGTGATGAATCAGGAGAACAGGTTTGTTATAAAGCCTGCCAGTCTGGACATTCGTCCCCTGCTCTCTCTCTCTCTCTCTCTCTCTCTCTCTCTCTCTCTCTCTCTCTCTCTGTCTCTGTCTCTGTCTCTGTCTCTGTCTCTGTCTCTCTCTCTCTCTGTCTCTCATGCTCGATATGTTGCCATGGTTACTCTGCTAAAGGAATCTTGTTGTTTTGTTTACTTACCCTCTTCTTTTCTCTTCCTTTTATACTTCTCCTTCCTGTCCTCTCTCTCGCTCTCTCCTCCTCTCTCTCTCCTCCAGTATTCTCCCCCTCTCATCCCTCCAAGGGGAGAGGTAAATGCAGCAGATGCATTTGACATTGGCTCCTTTGACGAAGAGGACACCAAGGGTATCAAGGTAACACACACACACACACACACAGCCCTTATCTCATGAAACCACCAAGGGTATCAACGGAAAATACATAGCATTATATAAAAGCTAAACCTATAATCCGGATTTACACACTCCTACATCCTATTGCTGATGTACACACACACCGAACACACACACACAGGAGGCTGAGGTGTAACGTGGCTCCATCGGTGTTCAGTATTGACACTGTCAGCAAGCAGAGCGGCCCACAGAGAAAGTCCTTCCAACAGAGTTTTAACATTACACAACAGTACCGGGGACTTTGGGCGCGTTCCAGGTTGCCTTAATTACAGTCATGCTGCCCAGCTTAGCAGATCTCACAGCGACTGGTGACGTGGTTAACATCTGAGGAATCACTTCACTTAACCTTACACATCATACCTGCGTCACTGACTTTTGTTTTGTTTCTCTCTCTCTGCCCCTTTCTCCTTCTCTCTCTCCCTCTCTCTCTCCCCCTCCTTCTCTCCCTCTCCCCATTCCCCCTGTCTATCTCGTAGCCTCCCCCATTCTCTCTCTCTATCTGCTCTCCTCTCTCTCTCTCTCTCTTCTCTCTCTCTCTCTCTCTCTCTCTCTCTCTCTCTGTGTCCCTCTAGTTGTTGGACAGTGACCAGGAATTGTACAAGAACTTCCCCCTGGTCATCTCAGAGCGCTGGCAGCAGGAGGTGGCTGAGACTGTGTACGAGGCCGTCAACTCTGACACAGACAAGAACGAGGCCCGCAAGAGGGCCAAGAACAAACAGCTGGGCCATGAAGAGGGTAAGGCTGAGGGAGATGCATATACATGATCACATGCATAACACACATCACACTAGGGCTGCACGATATGGACAAATATCCAAATGCAATATTTTTACTGAATAACTAAACACTTATGTGTGTGTGTTTTTTAGACTACGCCCTGGGGAAGGACTGTATAATGCACGGCTACATGTTGAAGCTGGGTAACCCGTTCCTGACGCAGTGGCAGCGTAGATACTTCTACCTGTTCCCCAACCGAGTGGAGTGGAGGGGAGAGGGAGAGTCACGGGTGAGCCACACACCTCTACCTCACACCGTCCTCTAGAAGTGGGTGTCGGTCCGAGTTTACGTGCGTGTATTTCAGTTTGTGTGCTTCTGTTCTTCACGGATGTGGTTCTCTGGGTGTGTTTTTTTCTTCCTGTGCGTTTCCACTTACAAGCGTGTGTGTGTCCATGGATGTGTGTGTGAGACCGTGTGTGTTCTTCGTCATTGCCCATCTGTCTAGTGCATGAAGGTTGTCCGTCTGTCCTCGCTCCGTTCTGTAGGCCTGGATGAAAACATTAAAACATACAGTAAAAAACCCAAAGGTACGCCTGACAGCTGCTGGCCCACCACCTTCTCCTCTCCTGCAGTGGCACAGTAGATGGATTGGAACGTGTCCTCCGTTCTAAAGCTTTGCTTCCAGACAGCCTTAGTTTAGAGAAGCATCCTCGCTCTCTAGCGCCGTTTTGATTGGTCCGTCTCATTCTCCGCTTGTGATTGGTTCCCCACCTCCCGGACGTGTTTCTGATTGGTTTGTGTGTGTGTGTGTTCCGCAGCAAAACCTGCTGACGATGGAGCAGATCGTGACGGTGGAGGAGACACAGATAAAAGATAAGAAGTGCATCCTGCTGCGCATCAAAGGAGGGAAACAGTTTGTCCTGCAGTGTGAGGTACGTACGACAACCTCGATAACTCTCTAGCGTTACTCTCTTCATCCCCTCCCTTCCCTTCTCGCGCTTTCTGTTTGTGGCTCTCTCTCGCTCTGTCTCTTAGGGTTGCAAAATTCTGTTAACTTTCCCAAAATTCCCAAGTGTTCCAGAAATCCTGGATGGAGAATTCCAGATTTCCTGCTCATTGCCTCCCAATACCAGGGATTTTCCAACCAGGATTTCAGAAAAACCTGGGAATTTTGGGAAAGCAATTGTAATTTTGCAACCCTTTTTTAAACGTATTATAAATTATTCTATTGTAAGTTAGTAAATGGAAGGTGTGTATGTGTAATAATATGTTAGGCCCCATGTAGCTCAGTTGGTAGAGCATGGTGTTTGCAACGCTAGGGTTGTGGGTTCGATTCCCACGGGGGGCCAGTATGAAAAATGTATGCACTCACTAACTGTAAGTCGCTCTGGATAAGAGCGTCAGCTAAATGACTAAAATGTAAAAAATTATCTCTGTCTCTCTGCAGAGTGACCCAGAGTTTGTCCAGTGGAAGAAAGAGCTGACCGAGGCGTTTACTGAGGCCCAGAAGCTGCTGCGTCGCGCCCCTAAGGTCATCGGGAAGGGTCGGGCTGGGGTGGTGGAGTTCTCCAAACCTCCTCTCACACACCGCAACAGCAACGGCCTGTAGGCCGCACACACCCACACACACACCGCCTCTTACAACCACATCCCCTATGACCCCACCCACCACAGTCCCCCAGCCCTAGACACACACACTCACACACACATTCAATAAAGCCCCACACTCTCACCCTGGAGTGTGTATGGACCAAGCCTGCCAGCTTCTCTCCTCTGTTGTCACACACACACACACACACACACACACACCGAAAGTCACAACGTATCATCGGACCATGCATTGAAGAAGAAAATAGGAAAGTGGGAACCAGTGCATGTATCTAAAGAAGACCAGAGCGTTTTCTCCCCTCCCTCTCCGGCTAGACCCTTCAGAATGATGCCACGCACCCCTCTTCCTCTCGCCCCAATGGACTATCATTCCACACAGCTAACCTCACACACACACACACACACACCAACTGAACCTGGCAGAGCAGCAAAAACCAGTCCCGAGTAGGGGAGTGAAGACTAGGGCACCTGCCCCCGCCTCTCCTCCTCTTCTCTTCTCTCCACCCATCCCTCCCTCCATCCCTCATTCCCCCAGCCTCGTCTTGAGACTGGACCTGAGCCACACATAACTGCCGGCCACTCTCCACAGGATTGGCTGACTGTAGTGGAGGGGCGGGACTTAAAGCAGGTGATGAGTATCTGGATCAATGGCACCGCTTGGAGAGAGGGGCTGGACCAATAACATTCCACTCCTGTGAGCTCATACAGAGGGGAAAGGAGGAGGAAAGGAGAGACTAAGCGGAGGAGAGAAAAACAGAAAGATGATGGGAGGAGGACAGAAGCAGAGACCTGCTGGGACATACCAAGAGAATGGCAATGAACTGCGTGTGTGTATGTGTGTGTACGCTATTGTCGCTGTGTGTTCGCTGTGAGTGTCCAGACATAGGGTCATAGAGGTTGACAGCAGGCTGCATTCCTTCAACAGAGAATTAAAAAAAAGGAGCGAAAGATAGTTGCTTTGACTTTTGAAGAGACGTTTACCCTCTTCTTCTCCCCCTCCCTCCATCTTCCCATCCCTCTGTCACTGAAGTGCATAAAGTGCCAATGTCAATATTTACTTGAGTCACTTGAGCGCCCAGGAGGACCTGTTTTGAAAGCAGGCGTCGCCCCCGGATACAGAACTCTCTGGCACGGAACTCTTGTCACCATGGACCAACTTCTCCGATTGGCTCCTGCACAGCTGCTGGTAACCATATACACTGGGGACCATATTGCACCCATAACTATGGGAACCGGGGATGGTGTATATGAAGGACACACCGTCAAACAGAGAGAGATGAGGGGGGGGGGGGGATGTACTGACTGACTAGTGGTCTTTATGGGTCCACAGTAAGTGTGTATATAGCCCAAGCCTTTCTCTGTGCATCTCCTGAATACTACTCCAGTCCTTTACTCCAGTACTGCTCTACAACATGTTTGCTTTAATGGACACTTCTGCCAGTCTGCGAATCTGTCCTCTGACAGCTTTCATTCACCTGGCAGTGTGCATACCTCAGAGCGGGACTGTGTGTGACTTTTGAACCCCAGAGGGCCAAATACTTTGCTGTGTGAGAAATTGTGATTGTGTCAGGACAGTCCTAATATGTACGCCATAGTCTTGCAGCCATCCAGACGTAGATTACACACACACACACACACACACACACACACACACACACACACACACAAATGGCTGTATAGGTAGGTCAGTGCAGAGAGAGAGGTGGTAGGTGACGCGGGGTGTGTTAGTATTTGGAGTGGACAACGACCGCAACCTAAATCTGTTAGTCCACTTCAGTCTGGTTTGAACCTATAGATTGTTTCTGAATGTGACCCAGAATGAAGACTGATATTTCTCTAGGCTTTATATATTAGGAGAACCAGCTGTGCTGCTGTGACTACAGTCGTGACGTCTGTTTAACTGAAGGACATGAATGCACAGCTTGGTTGTAGAAAAGAGAGGGAAGTGGAGAAACGATTTGTTCACTCAATTTTAATTTCAGGTTTTTTTTTCTTTTTTTCATGCAGTAGAACGTTCCTCGTCTGTGATATCCATGCATTTCCACAGCTGTGACCTGCATGTGGGGCTGGGGAGTTAGAGGAGGGTTTATGTGTTAGGGGTGTTGATATTATTAGAAGCCTACACAGGTCATTCAGGGGGAAGTGATGTCGTTTTAGAGAGAGACCTTTCAGGGTATCTTTTATTTTTTTAAACCAAATGAATGGGTTTTTGTTTTTGTTGCAACTACTTTGTCGCACCTTTTTAACATAATGTGTTACTAGATGTTCAATGTGCCAAATACCTGTCGCTGATTGGCTGACTGTTCTGGACCAATGAGAATCCTCCTATCTTAACTTGGACACCTGCGGGGTTTGAACCCCTCACAGCACCAGCCTCTGGCCACACACACACTCTCTCAACCCTTGAATCTGAGGAATGTGTATTTCTAAAGGGTACAAAACTGTGACCAAACTGGTGATGTGGAACAGAAGAGTGTGAGGAGAGGTGTTTGTGTTTGTCCCAGCATGGAGTGAATCTGGCATTCAGCACCTCCACTTGTCACACACACAGGGCTTGGTTGTAATGGGTTTATTCAGTGTGTGTGCGTACATGCATGAGTGTGTGTGTGTGTTGCATTCAATCGCTTGTCAGTATGTTTATTTAGTGGAGATGTTTTTGTCGACATCTTCTACGCGCACACACAAGCTCAACGACAAAACAAGACAATGAAAAAGGGTGGCATATCGGAAAACTAACAAAAAATGTAAGTGTGTATGTATATATACACACACACACACACACACACACACACACACACACACACACACACACACATACATATATATATTACAGTTGAAGTTGGAAGTTTACATACACCTTAGCCAAATACATTTAAACTCAGTTTTTCACAATTCCTGACATTTAATCCTAGTAAAGATTCCCTGTTTTAGGTCAGTTGGGATCACCACTTTATTTTAAGAATGTGAAATGTCAGAATAATAGTAGAGAGAATGATTTATTTCAGCTTTTATTTCTTTCATCACATTCCCAGTTGGTCAGAAGTTTACATACACTCAATTAGTATTTGGTAGCATTGCATTTGAATTGTTTAACTTGGGTCAAACGTTTCGGGTAGCCTTCCACAAGCTTCCCACAATAAGTTGGGTGAATTTTGGCCCATTCCTCCTGACAGAGCTGGTGTAACTGAGTCAGGTTTGTAGGCCTCCTTGCTCGCACACGCTTTTTCAGTTCTGCCCACAATTGTTCTATAGGATTGAGGTCAGGGCTTTGTGATGGCCACTCCAATACCTTGACTTTGTTGTCCTTAAGCCATTTTGCCACAGCTTTGGAAGTATGCTTGGGGTCATTGTCCATTTGGAAGACCCATTTGCGACCAAGCTTTAACTTCTTGACTGATGTCTCGAGATGTTGCTTCAATATTTCCACATAATTTTCCTTCCTCATGATGCCATCTATTTTGTGAAGTGCACCAGTCCCTCCTGCAGCAAAGCACCCCCACAGCATGATGCTGCCAGCCCCGTGCTTCACGGTTGGGATGGTGTTCTTCTTCTTGCAAGCAACCCCCTTTTTCCTCCAAACATAACGATGGTCATTATGGCCAAAGAGTTCTATTTTTGTTTCATCAGACCAGAGGACATTTCTCCAAAAAGTACGATCTTTGTCCCCATGTGCAGTTGCAAACCGTAGTCTGACTTTTTTATGGTGGTTTTCGAGCAGTGGCTTCTTTGCTGAGCGGCCTTTCGGGTTATGTCGATATAGGACTCGTTTGACTGTGGATATAGAAACTTTTGTACCGGTTTCCTCCACCATCTTCACAAGGTCCTTTGCTGTTGTTCTGGGATTGATTTGCACTTTTCACACCAAAGTACGTTCATCTCTAGGAGACAGAACGCTTCTCCTTCCTGAGTGGTATGATGGCTGCGTGGTCCCATTATGTTTATACTTGCGTACAATTGTTTTTACAGATGAACTTGGTACCTTCAGGCGTTTTGGAAATTGCTCCCAAGGATGAACCATAATTTTTTTTCCTGAGGATTTCTTTTGATTTTCCCATGATGTCAAGCAAAGAGGCACTGAATTTGAAGTTAGCCTTTGAAATACATCCACAGGTAGACTCAAATTATGTCAATTAGCCTATCAGAAGCTTCTAAAGCCATGACATCATTTTCTGGAATTTTCCAAGCTGTTTAAAGGCACAGTCAACATAGTGTATGTGAACTTCTGACCCACTGGAATTGTGATACAGTGAATTATAAGTGAAATAATCTGTCTGTAAAAAATTGTAAATATTACTTGTGTCATGCACAAAGTAGATGTCCTAACCGACTTGCCAAAACTATAGTTTGTTAACAAGAAATTTGTTGAGTGGTTGAAAAACGAGTTTTAATGACTCCAACCTATGTGTATGTAAACCTCCAACTTTAACTGTATATGTGTGTGTATATATATATATATATATGTGTGTGTGTATTAATTGACCGAAATGCTCTAGGTTTATTTAAAAAGATTTAACAATGTAGAGACGATCTTCGGATGAGGATGCGCTGTGTGAGCGTTGGGGTTTTGAAGTGAGTAAATCTGTTTGTGGTGAAGACTTTGGCTCGGATCTTGCTCATAAAGAATTTAGCTATCGTACCTGCAAATTACCAGATTATTTTTGTTTAAATACCGGACTCTTGCTCGTTCATATTTATTGTGTGTTTTGGGGAAATAGCACCCTCTGTCTACGAGCTCGCGCCAGAGGTCTCGCTGTAGAGTATTCCGGTTTACACACCCATCAGACAAATTATTTTAAATGTGCCACAAACAAACGCAAATACTACTGGCTTTGGGTTACTATTACCATTAAAGTTATGATGATGATTACTGTTATTGATAATATTATTAAATGATTATTGTTATTACATTTGTTTTAATTAATTTTGTTATATTGTTTTTAAGACAGGTAGGAGCATATGTGTTGGACTGCTTATATAAAACAGTTCAGAAATAAATAAATACACTTTTTTTGTGTTACTTTGTGTAACGTGTGGTTTGTTGACCTGTTGAGCCAATACTTTAGTACACTACACACAGTATGTCATCATATCAAAGGGAGGTCTGAATTTCTATGAGTTCACATGTTGTTCATGTTCAAACCTAAACATGGGGGTCGGGGGATGTAATGTTCATTCTTTAGAAATACTGTGGTAACAGCAGCCAACTGTCTAATGCCAATTTATCTTCCCATATCATCCAACTAATGAAATAAGGATGCATTTATTCAAACCCGTTTTATTCCACATTTTAATTTAAAAACATGGGGAAATACACTGGTGCACAGACACTGAACTATTGATACCATAAAACAACGTTAAAAAAAATATATCAATACCTAAGTTTCCAAAAAAGGGTTCTTGGACCATGTCCCACTTGATGTGCCCTCCCTCTGAAACCTGTTTTGTATACTGCCCAAGGGGGTGCTGGACTATTCAAAAGGACCAGTCAATAAACTGGGGGCTTCTTGGGATAGGTCAGGGGTCGCAACCCTCTTTCCTCCCCCTTCCTCACCTCTTCTGTCCCCCTCACTCCACTCCTAATTTCCCCTAGCTCCTCTCATTTTCTCTTATTTTCTCACCCTCTTCCCCCTTTCCCTCCCCTACGTTTCTCCCTCACCCCTCTGGTACCCCCCCCCCCCCCCCCCCCCCATCCAGCCATCTTCCTTTCTCTATGAGGCTCCTCCTCTTCTCCTCCCCCTCTCAGCTGTAGCTGTCAGTCAGGTTAGAACGGCAGCTGATTTCTACCCCTCAAGACAGAGATACATGGCTTTTTCTAGCTGTTGCTAGAAGTGGAGTGGGCTTTGGGTTTGTGTGTGTGTTCAGTCTTCCAATATCAACAGCAATCCATCCCTCCTTTGTCCATGTCCCAATAGACTCCAAAACATTCCAGCTTTCCCCTCTCTCGCCTCAGTTTTTGCATGCTATTTATCTGTTGGTTTGTTTAGGCCTAGAGTCCAAACCTTAGGCAAATCAAGACACAGGGTGAATGGTAGTTTGCTACAACATTGTCTTACCTCATTGCTTTTCCCCCAACTGTATTCTCCCCCCTGTCATATACTAGCGTCCTGTTTTCCTAACAGGGTAGTATCCCCTACCCACCAGTCCCACTATATTTATAGCGCAATCTGTTGGCATGCAAGCTGCCTCGTGTGTGTGTGTGTGTGTGTGGGAGTAAGAGAACGAGAGAGAGAGAGAGATGCTGTCTGTGTCACACTATTTCTGACTGCATTGCTGAGTGCCCAACTCGGCTCGTCTGAATGTGTGTGTCTGTGTGTGTGTCTGTTTGACGGTGGGACAGTGAGCCTCTCGCTTTGGCCTCGCAGGATTGGGATTATAAACCAGTACATTTTGAGTTCCATCATAAGGTAGGTGGTTTGTGTGTTTTAGTATGTATTTCTGTGAAATGCCAGAGTTTGTTCTCATAACTTTATTTATAGAGCCCGGGGTGGACTGATGGACAGATAGGGGAGAGAGGGTTAAGGGAAAAGGATAGGACGGGAAAGAGAGGGGGAGAGAAAAGAGAGGGTAAGGGAGGACAAGGGAGAGGGGTACAGTAGCTGCCTGACTGTGACTTTGCCACTAGTCTGCTGTTTCAGACAGAATAGAACAGAGACTGGGTCAGGTCATGGCCAATTCTGTCTGGGTTGACAGGGTTGTAGCTACTGTAATGTCATAGTTGTGTTGATTTGGTGGGTCACAAGAAAATTAGAATTGCTTCAGGTGGGAGACAAAAGTTTGGAAACCACTGGAGTTGAGCCACTGTTCCCGTGAACATGCCATGGACACAGCGTTATGGCGGCACTGTTAGATCTGACACAGTTAAACGGTTGCTTAACACCATTATCCCAGAAACCCTAGACACACTCCAATTTGCATACCGCCCCAACAGATCCACAGATGATGCAATCTCTATTGCACTCCACACTGCCCTTTCCCACCTGGACAAGAGGAACACCTACGTGAGAATGCTATTCATTGACTACAGCTCAGCGTTCAACACCATAGTGCCCTCAAAGCTCATCACTAAGTTAAGGATCCTGGGACTAAACACCTCCCTCTGCAACTGGATCCTGGACTTCCTGACGGGCCGCCCCCAGGTGGTAAGGGTAGGTAACAACACATCTGCCACGCTGATCCTCAACACGGGGGCCCCTCAGGGGTGCGTGCTCAGTCCCCTCCTGTACTCCCTGTTCACCCATGACTGCATGGCCAGGCACGACTCCAACACCATAATTAAGTTTGCCGACGACACAACAGTGGTAGGCCTGATCTCCGACAACGATGAGACAGCCTATAGGGAGGAGGTCAGAGACCTGGCCGTGCGGTGCCAGGATAACAACCTCTCTCTCAATGTGATCAAGACAAAGGAGATGATTGTGGACTACAGGGAAAAAAAGAGGACTGAGCACGCCCCCATTCTCATCGACAGGGCTGTAGTGGAACAGGTTGAGAGCTTCAAGTTCCTGGGTGTCCACATCACCAACGAACTATCATGGTCCAAACACACCAAGACGGTCGTGAAGAGGGCACGACAAAGCCTATTCCCCCTCAGGAGACTGAAACGATTTGGCATGGGTCCTCAGATCCTCAAAAAGTACTACAGATGCACCATCGAGAGCATCCTGACTGGTTGCATCAGCACTTGGTATGGCAACTGCTCGTCCTCCGACCGCAAGGCACTACAGAGGGTAGTGCGTACGGCCCAGTACATCACTGGGGCCAAGCTTCCTGCCATCCAGGACCTCTATACCAGGCGGTGTCAGAGGAAGGCCCTCAAAATTGTCAAAGACTCCAGCCACCCTAGTCATAGACTGCCGCACGGCAAGCGGTACCGGAGTGCCAAGTCAAGGTCCAAAAGGCTTCTCAACAGCTTCTACCTTCTCAACAGCTTCTAACAGCCATACGACTCCTGAACAGCTAATCATGGCTACCCGGACAATATTTACTATCCCCCCCACCCCACCCCATCCCCCCTCTTTTATGCTGCTGCTACTCTGTTTATTATTATGCATAGTCACTTTAACTCTAACCACATGTACATATTTAACATCAATTAACCTCGGTATGCCAGTGCCCCCACACATTGACTCTGCACTGTACCACCCGTATATAGCCTCCCTACTGTTATTTTATTTTACTGCTGCTTTTTAGTTATTTGCTTAACACTTTTTTAATCTATTTTACTTTGCATTGTTGGTTAAGGGCTTGTAAGCATTTCACTGTAATGTCTACACCAGTTGTATTCGGCGCATGTGGCAAATAAAATGTGATCTGATTTGATTGACATATCACCCAGAAATGTGTTATGGTGAATCAACAGGTTAACACTGAAGTATAAATATCTATTAAGATGGTGGTCTGACTGTCATCTAACCTACATAACCTACATCACTCAGAGATTAGTTGGCGTAGGCTTCATTGGTGTTGTGTTGCTTCGAGACTGTCCACAACAGGTATGTCTTCGTGTGTGTCCATCCCTAGACCCAATACTTGCATAAAACCAGGCACCACTTTTCTCCTTCCTACCACACACCACCTGAGCTGCCCTTCACCCAACTGAGATTCTGTACAGGTCTCCGTCTGTCCATGTCTGCTGGTGTTCCAGGCAGGTGCTGGAGGTAGCGTGTGTGTCTGTAAGGTCCTGAGGGGCACAGGCCAGGGGCCCAGAGGTAGCGTGTGTGTCTGTAAGGTCCTGAGGGGCACAGGCCAGGGGCCCAGAGGTAGCGTGTGTGTCTGTAAGGTCCTGAGGGGCACAGGCCAGGGGCCCAGAGGTAGCGTGTGTGTCTGTAAGGTCCTGAGGGGCACAGGCCAGGGGCCCAGAGGTGTGTGTGTGAGAAGCCCAATGGAACGGACAGCTGAGACAGGCTGAAACTGGAGAGGAGAGGGCTTGAGAGCCGTACGTGAGACCCGGGTTGGGAGTGTGTTGGGTGGGAGAAGAAACAGTAGTTTGTGAAAGGTTGTGCAGTTGTACAGATATTTGAGTGTGTGTATGTGCATATGACTTCACTAGAAGGACTAATATTTCTGAGAGACAGCTCGTTTGTGTGTGTTTGTTTAGTGGTGTTGAGTGATCTGCCACCTGTCATGTATTCCACCACATCGTGAGGTGTTTCATGTGTTGTCAACTTGTAAGTGCACATCAGTTAATACGTCACCAGAAACCTATTTCTTTTTCTCATTCCTGTTTCTCTCCATCCTCAGGTTGAATCACTGTTTCTGTGTTGTCCCGCCCCCACTCTGACATCACATCTGGCTGACCTCTGACTGTTTGACCCCTCCCCCAGCAGCCATTGTCATGGCGCTGTCCTCACGCTTAAAGCTCTGGGAGCAGAAGGGAGGTGCAGAGATGATGTGGCATGAAGCATTACTGTTCTAGAATGGTCTGGAATGATCCTCACTCTGTGTGTTCTAGAGTCGTGTGTGTTCCCTTAATGTGTGTTCTAGTGAGTCTTCATGTTGTGTGTATTCTAGAATGATCAGCCTGTGTGTGTTCTGGATATGTCATTTTGTGTGTAGGCTACTGTATGTCCCACACTGCTTTGAATGTTCCATCTGCAAATACAACCACTCCTGTGTGTGCATACAGTAACCAGAGCACCACACACTCTCTCCCTCTCTCATATTTCATTCACTCTTCTCTCTATCACCCATCTCTTTTTAATTCCTATATTCTACTGGATGTATTATCATTAAAATGGATGAGTAATCTGTTTCGACCACCCCTGAGCAGAGAACAGGAGAGATAGGAGAGTTGTCCTACTGACCTTTCTGTCCTCTCGTCTCCACGGTAACAGCAGGTCTAATCTAAACTGACCATACCACCTCTGCTATTAATAAACCAGTAATAAACCGGTCATGCACTAGTTAAGTCATTATTACATACAGTTGATATGATATGTGTCAGTAACTGAGCTACAGGGCCCCCCTGTAGCTCAGTTGGTAGAGCATGGTGCTTGCAACGCCAGGGTTGTGGGTTCGTTTCCCACGGGGGGCCAGTATGAAAAATGTATGCACTCACTAACTGTAAGTCGCTCTGGATAAGAGCGTCTGCTAAATGACCTAATAAAAAATAAAAATGTAATTCACACCTGTCAGTGGACAAGAGGAAACTCTGTGAACTGCAGTCCTAAACGTAGATGATAATTGCTCTTCCACACTAGCATGAGTGCGTGTATGTTTGTGTTTGTGTGTGTTTTTGTATTTGTACGTGTTTGTGTATGTATTTGTATGTGTCTGTGTACTGCTGTCACAGTATATAGCCGCTGAGCCTTTGCTGTAGACTGTATTGCATCTATTTCTAACAGTCAATCTGAGTCTGCGTGTAAACATTGGGCTGTGGCCCAGTTCAAATAAATGCTGTGAAAATTAGGGCTGTCAGAGTTAACTCGAGAACATTTTAGTGGATTACATTTTTTATTTTTATCGCAGTGTTTAAAATACACTGAAAACATCCACAATTCTATACAGCTAAAAACAACAGTGCCATGTCAAAACAAGTTGGCATTGAGGTTAAAGAAAGTGTGTTTTATCAATTTACCAGATTCAAGACGTCAATATTCTTGTAATGCTTTTTGTATGAAAAGTTGTAAATTACAGCTAAATTTGAGCAAATTCTGAGTTTGCGATTAATCACAGCAAATCCTGCAATTAACTCGCTGACATTTATTTTGCGTTTGACAGCCCTAGTGAAAATACATCCCCTTCTTCTTCAAGGATGAAGGATGAATTTGTACAGTTGCATTCGAACAGGGCCTGTGTGTGTCATATCTGTCTTACCCTCTCCGTCCCTCCTTTCCACTTTACAGATAAAGGAGAAGAAGGAAGAGCCCACCTCTCCTCCCCCTCCTCTGTCGGCCCTACCGGGAGGCTTCCTCAAACAGCTGGTCAGAGAGACAGAGAAGGAGACCAAACAAAAAGAACCTGAGGCCAAAGAAGAGAAGGCAGTAAGAGAAAGATGAAGGAGTGAAAGAGAGTGGAATGGAAGGAGGGGGTAGAGAGAGAGGGATGGAAGGAGGGGGTAGAGAGAGAGGGATGGAAGGAGGGGGTAGAGAGAGAGGGATGGAAGGAGGGGGTAGAGAGAGAGGGATGGAAGAGACAAAGAGGGAAACAGAAATATAGGAACAAGCGATTAAAAAGGATAATGTGGAAAAAGAAAGGGGTGGAGGTAGAGAGACAGAGAGTGGTGGGCATAACCTGGGACGATAGCAAGTCAGCCAAGGGTGAAGTAAAGGCAGCACGTTGCCTTGTGTTTTTACATACTGTGGTGACGTCCATCTTGTTTCTTTCCAGCCCAGTAAACTGAGTGACAACCTGGTGCAGCAGTTCCTCCTCCCGGACCAAACTCCACCAATCCTAGAGGCCGAGATGGCCCTGCGAAACGAGCAGTTGGTCAACGGAGAGCGAGGCCGCCACTCCAACCAATCAGATCTCAAGACCTCCACGCCCCGTCGAATCCTCTCCCCCAAACTCAAGAGCCCGCCCTTGGGGGAGACAGCCAAAAAGGAAGTGACCCCAGAGCCACTGAAACAGAAACAGGAAATTACATCAGAGCAGCTGAAGCAGAAACAGGAAATTACAACAGAACAACTGAAGCAGAAACAGGAAATTAAATCAGAGCTGCTGAAGCAGGGGCAGGAAGTGAAGTCAGGGAAAGAAAAGGTGACAAATGATACCAAGAAGCCAACAAATGATGTCAAGATGCCAAAGATGGAGGGAAAGAAAGATCAGCAGAAAGAACAGGAGAAGAAGAAAGAGGGAGTGATAGAGGAGAGACAGGAGCCTGAGGGGCAACAAGCAGACATCGCCATAACAGAACATGAGAGGAAAGAGGTATGATGTCACGTGGTCATGTCATAAGATACGTACGTACTGTATACATGCTATACACACACAAACTCACTTAGGCCTGCATACCTGCTACACTGGGGCGTCGCAAAGTAGTTTTTTTTAGCTCCATGTTTTGTAGAGCACGAGACACATTATGAAGTGTTCTCTGGCATGAGTCGTGCATTGACTTCAAGCACTATTTTACTCCGAGTGCTGTAAAGCTTACGCCCAGGTTTAATTGAAAACAACGAGAGCCGCAGTCTCTCACTCCCTGCAAGAGGTACTCTTCCAGTGTAGCAGGCCTGTTACACACACACACATGTGCATTGATAGACACACACATGCCAGACACACACACTTACATTTTACTCATTTTTCAGAAGCTCTTATCCAGAGTGACTTACAAGAGCAATTAGGGTTAAGTGCCTTGCTCAAGTCCACATCAACAGATTGTTTTCATGTAGCTCTTAACCGCTAGGCTACCTGCCGTCCTGGAACATACCCACAGTGAAACATTCACCTTCTAAAGAACACACTGCATGCCGTAGAATACAGTTGAAGTCGGAATATATATATACATTTAAACTCAGTTTTTCACAATTCCTGACATTTAATCCTAGTAAAAATTCCCTGTCTTAGGTCAGTTAGGATTACCACTTTATTTTAAGAATGTGAAATGTCAGAATAATAGTAGAGAGAATGATTTATTTCAGCTTTTATTTCTTTCATCACATTCCCAGTTGGTCAGAAGTTTACATACACTCAATTAGTATTTGGTAGCATTGCATTTAAATTGTTTAACTTGGGTCAAACGTTTCGGGTAGCCTTCCACAAGCTTCCCACAATAAGTTGGGTGAATTTTGGCCCATTCCTCCTGACAGAGCTGGTGTAACTGAGTCAGGTTTGTAGGCCTCCTTGCTCGCACACGCTTTTTCAGTTCGGCCCACACATTTTCTATAGGATTGAGGTCAGGGCTTTGTGATGGACACTCCAATACCTTGACTTTGTTGTCCTTAAGCCATTTTGCCACAACTTTGGAAGTATGCTTGGGGTCATTGTCCATTTGGAAGACCCATTTGCAACCAAATTTTAAATTCCTGATTGATGTCTTGAGATGTTGCTTCAATATATCCACATAATTTTCCTTCCTCATGATGCCATCTATTTTGTGAAGTGCACCAGTCCCTCCTGCAGCAAAGCACCCCCACAGCATGATGCTGCCACCCCCGTGCTTCACGTTTGGGATGGTGTTCTTCAGCTTGCAAGCGACCCCGTTTTTACTCCAAACATAACGATGGTCATTATGGCCAACAGTTCTATTTTTGTTTCATCAGACCAGAGGACATTTCTCCAAAAAGTATGATCTTTGTCCCCATGTGCAGTTGCAAACCGTAGTCTGGCTTATTTATGGCGGTTTTGGAGCAGTGGCTTCTTCCTTGCTGAGTGGCCTTTCAGGTTATGTCAATATAGGACTCGTTTTACTGTGGATATAGAAACTTTTGTACCTGTTTCCTCCAGCATCTTCACAAGGTCCTTTGCTGTTGTTCTGGGATTGATTTGCACTTTTCGCACCAAAGTACGTTCATCTCTAGGAGACAGAACGCGTCTCCTTCCTGAGCGGTATGACGGCTGCGTGGTCCCATGGTGTTTATACTTGCGTACTATTGTTTGTACAGATGAACGTCGTACCTTCAGGCATTTTGAAATTGCTCCCAAGGATGAACCAGACTTGTGGAGGTCTACAATTGTTTTTCTAAGGTCTTGGCTGATTTCTTTTGATTTTCCCATGATGTCAAGCAAAGAGGCACTGAGTTTGAAGGTAGGCCTTGAAATACATCCACAGGTACACCTCCAATTGACTCAAATGATGTCAATTAGCCTATCAGAAGCTTCTAAAGCCATGACATAATTTTCTGGAATTTTACAAGCTGTTTAAAGGCACAGTCAACATAGTGTATGTAAACTTCTGACCCGCTGGAATTGTGATACAGTTAATTATAAGTGAAATAATCTGTCTGTAAACAATTGTTGGAAAAATTACTTGTGTCATGCACAAAGTAGATGTCCTAACCGACTTGCCAAAACGATACTTTGTTAACAAGAAATGTGTAGAGTGGTTGAAAAGCGAGATTTTATGACTCCAACCTAAGTGTATGTAAACTTCCGATTCAACTGTACATATGATTGTGCACCCCCCCCCCCCCCCCCCCCCCTTCTCTCTCTCCCGCTTTCTTTCTTTCTCGCTCTCTCTCTCTCTCTCTCTCTCTCTCTCTCTCTCTCTCTCTCTCTCTCTCTCTCTCTTTTCCAGGTGAGGGATGTGTGGTATGAAGTTGGGAATGTGTGGTACGTCCACAAGGAGGGCTTTAGCCTCGGTAAGTGGTGGTAATGTAATGTGGTAGACTGTGTGTGTCCTGAGGTGTTGGGTGGCATTGGTTGGTGTATTAATAGTACCTTGCTTTAGCACTGTGCTTTTGTATCCAACCCTTAATACTGCGGGAGCCAGAACACACGTGGCTAAAGCAGCGGATTGAAAATTCTTCACTGGCTTTGATTCTCTGATTGCTTAAAGAATATCCAATCGCTGATGACTTTGTTTTGTACAACGCCCATCGTCACCACAAACAACTTCAATGATGGCAGTCTCAGACTAAAGTATGTAGTGAACAACAGAGCAGTGGAAGAATTTAGTGTGAGTCGTTAGGCTAGAACATCTAGCCAGCATTAATCCCATTTGATTTTCATATACCCACACACACATCCCCTGAACCCTGGTACACACACACATGCACACACACACACACGCATGCGCACACACACACTCACACTGGGGGATCAGAGATTAGGGATGCATATCAGAGTTTAATCCCCTGAGACATAAACCCTGGTAATCCCTGTTTAGTTGTGCTGTGAGAATAATATTGAGAATACAGACTAGAACCACAACCAGGAAATCTCCACTATGACTTAGTTTTTCTCCACAGAAACATGAAAACATGTTGGGACAAATATACAGTGCTTAATTCAACATAGAAGAATGTCTCCCTGTTAATGATAATCATCAAACTCATCTTTTGGTGCCTCTAAAGCTGGAATCCTTAACTGAAACAATAACAAAGCGGACACCCCGCCTCTGTTTTGGTAAAAAGCTGGATGGGCCTGGAGAAATGTAATCACTCTCAAATTCAAAGCAAGGACTAACCATCCATGATATCAAAATTATAGTTTTAACCATGTTTTGTATTTTGTATTTGTATTTATTATGGATCACCATTAGCTGCAGCTACTCTTCCTGGGTTCCAGCAAAATTAAGGCAGTTATACAATATTACAATACATTTCACAAGACATTAAGTGTGTGCCCTCAGGCCACTGCTCTACTACCACATACTGTATCTACCACACAAAATCCATGTGTACGTGTGCGTATGTTATCATGTGTCTGTGCATGTGTGTGTCGCTTCACAGTCTCCACTGTTCCCTAAGTTCTATTTGTATCTGTTTTTTAAATCTAATTTTACTTCTTGCATGAGTTACTAGATGTGGAATAGAGTTCCATGTAGTCATGGCTCTATGTAGTACCGTGTGCCTCCCATTGTCTGTTCTGGACTTGGGGACTGTGAAAAGACCTCTGGTGGCATGTCTTGTGGGGTATGTATGGGTGTGAGTTGTGTGCTAGTAGATTAAACAGACAGCTCGGTGCATTCAACATGTCAATACTTTTCAGAATGACAAGTAGTGATGAAGTCAATCGCTCCTCTACTTTGAGCCAGGACATGCATGCATATTATGAATGTTATTAATGTTAGCTCTTCATGTACATTTAAGGGCCAGCCGTCCTACCCTGTTCTGGGCCAATTGTAATTTTCCTAAGTCCCTCTTTGTGCCACCTGACCACACGACTGGGCAGTAGTCCAGGTGCGCCAAAACTAGGGCCTGTAGGACTTGCCTTGTTGATAGCGTTGTTAAGAAAGCAGAGCAGCGCAGAGCAGACAGACCTCTCCCCATCTTAACTACTGTTGCATCAATATGTTTTGACCATGACAGTTTACAATCCAGGGTTACTCCAAGCAGTTTACTCTACTCAACTTGCTCAATTTCCACATTATTCTTTACAAGGTTTAGTTGAGGTTTAGGGTTTAGTGAATGCTTTGCCCCAAATACAATGCTTTTAGTTTTTGAAATGTTTAGGACTTATTTCTTGCACCCATTCTGAAACTGACTGCAGCTCTTTGTTAAGTGTTGCAGTGATTTCACTTGCTGTGGTAGCTGACATGTATAGTGTTGAGTCATCAGCATACATAGACACACAGGCTTTACTCAGAGCCAGTGGCAGGTCATTAGGAAAGATTGAAAAAAGTAAGGGGCCTAGACAGCTGCCCTGTGGAATGCCTGACTCTACCTGTATTATGTTGGAGAGGATTCCATTAAAGAACACCCTCTGTGTTCTGTTGGACAGGTAACTGTCGATCCACAATATAGCAGCCATAACACACACGTTTTTCCAGCAGCAAAAGCTACACTGAAGTCTAACAAAACACCTCCCACAGTCTTTTTATTATCAATTTCTCTCAGCCAATCATCAGTCATTTGTGTAAGTGCTGTACATGTTGAATGCCCTTCCCTATAAGCATGCTGAAAATCTGTTGTTAGTTTGTTTACTGTGAAATAGCATTGTATCTGTTCAAACAAAAAAAATTTCTAAATGTTTGCTAGGCTATAAAGTGTTTTGAGGCTATACAGTGTTTCTTTACATTTACTTTGTTTACAAACATTGGAGTATAACAAGCTTATATTTTTGGGTTCTGATCGGGTATGACAGTTGAGCTAAGCTCATGAGGCATTTATAAGTTGTGTTATTAATGGGCATATATAATTAGTTTGATAAGTCCACAAATGGATGTAGCAACTAAGGATTCTAGCTTCAAGTGACTAATGGATTTGTCCTGAGACTTTCCAATTGGTGGGTTTATACTGAAATTGTCTGTGATTGGTGGGTTCTGTGTTCCAGCCACTCAGCTGAAACCAGACGAGGGAACCCCAGATCTCCCAGCAGGCCTAGTGAGAGTCAGAATGGAGTCAGATGGAACACTGCATGATGTCATGGAGCATGACATCCAGAAGGTACTCTCTCTCTCTCCCTCTCCCTCATTCTATCTCTCCCTCATTCTATCTCTCTCTCATTCTATCTCTCTCTCCTCTCTATCTTTATTTCTCTCTATCTCCCTTCTCGTTCTCTCTCCATCACTCCATTTCTCTCCATCACTCTCTCTCTCCCCTGACACCGCTTTCTCTCTCTGTCCCTCTCGCTTTCTCTCTCCAGTTGAATCCGTCTGAGTTGGACCTGTGTGAGGACTTGAGTGAACTACAGAGTGTGAATGAGTGTGGAGCGCTCCACACTTTAACCAGTCGAGCTAAAGCCAGCCTGCCCCTCACACACGCTGGACCCAACCTGCTCAACTTCTGGCCGCCGCTGAACCAACAAGGAAAGGTGAACACACACACACACACACATACACATACACACACTGTACACTTGCTGAGTGATTCATGCCGGGAAACCCAGTGCGTGTACTCTCTCGTCCATCAGTGATAGGAGCTGAACTAGTGCTCTAGAACTTGACTAGGTGTTATGTTCCTGTAGTTCCATTGGAACCAGATGATAAGGGAATGTTGTGGTCTCCTCTCCCCAGACCCCTCGCTCCCGTCGTGGGGACAGTGTGTGGGATGCTCCCCCTGCCCTGGCCGCTCTAGTCAGGCATGTGTATGTCTCCATGGTGGGCACGCGCAGGGACCAGAGTGTGTGTGCGGTGGGACGCAGTGGCACGGGCAAGACCACCTCCTGCCAAGCTTTCACACACACACTCCTCAAACAGGCTGGTACCGCCGGAGACAGCATCAGTGGTGAGTGCTTTGTGTGTGTGCGTTGCGTGCATGTTGTGTAATGTAATATGAAGTCTTTGTGTGTTTATGAAGTGTGTGAAGTAATAGCACACTGTGTGTATAATGTTATCTCTCGGTGTGTGTGTGTGTGTCCAGTGGAGCGTATCCAGGCAGTGTTTACGATCCTGAGGTCGTTTGGGTGTGTGAGCTCTCAGCACAGTGACGCCTCGTCTCGCTTCGCCATGGTTCTCTCTCTGGACTTCAACCACGCTGGACTGGCCTCTGCTGGACACCTACAGGTACACACACACACACACACACACACAAACAAACAAATTGTTGCCCGTTATGCAAGTATATTGCTTCTAATGATATGTACAGTATCATATTATAGTCTCAATGTCCTCCCTCCTCTCCCTCCCTTCTTCATCCCTCTCTCCTCCTCTTCTCCAGACTATGATGTTAGAGAAGTGGAGGGTGTGTCAGAAGATGGAGGGAGAGAGTAACTTCCTAGTCTTCTCCCAGATGCTGGCTGGACTCAGTACAGAGATGAGGTACAGACACACACACACACACACACACACACACACGTGCGCACACACACACACTCTTACATGACTTCCGGTCTCCTCCTGATAGGACGGAGCTGCAGATGCACCAATTCTCTGAGGCCAACTCTTTTGGAATAGTCGCTCCCACCAAGGTAACCAGCAAGTGTTGCTAACCTTTTTTGAATTTTTTGGCCATATTGCTTACTCTACCTCAGAAACTAATAGGCCCATCTTCCTCTCCTCCATCCTTTCCTTCGCTCCCTCCGTCAGGTAGAAGAAAAGCAGCGTGCGTCAGTGGCCTTCACCAAGCTGCTGGTTGCCATGGAAACACTGGGTTTCTCAGCCGATGAGCAACGAGCAATATGGCATGTCCTGGCAGGGTTATACCATCTGGGAACAGCGGGGGCCATTAAAGGTATAGACTGTACCAACATCTCTTTCTCTCTCTCCATACCATATGATACTTTATGAAGTGTAGCTGTTAGTAGGACCTATGAAAACATGACAACCATGCCAATACTTTCTCTCTCTCTTTTCCAACCTCCTCTTCTTTGTTTTTTCCCTCCCTGTTTTGTATCCCACCCCACCCCCCTCCCCTCTTCTCCCTCCTCCTCCTCTCCTCCGCCCTCATCCCCTCTTCACCCCAGTGGGGCGTAGGGCGTTTGTGAGTTTCGACAGTGCCCAGGTGGCCAGCAGTGTGTTGGGGTGTGAGGGGGAGGAGCTCCACACGGCCGTGTTCAAACACCACCTCAGACAGCTGCTGCAGAGAGCCACCGGAGGTGGCAGAGAGAGACACGCTACTATAAATGCAGAGGAGGGTAAGAGGGAGACAGGCACTCTCACACAGGCATGCACACACACACACTCACAAACACACACACACACACTGTGTCACTGCCTCACTGTGTCTGCTCCCAACCACCCATCCCTTTCTCTCTCTCTCTCTCTCTCTCTCTCTCTCCATCTCTTGCTCTCCATCTCCATCTCCTCTCTATCTCTATCTCTATCTCTATCTCTATCTCTAGGTCCCAGGTTGAGTGCTACTCAGTGTGTAGATGGCATGGCTTCTGGACTGTACGAAGAACTCTTCACGGCTATAGTGTCACTCATCAACAGGTACACACACGCGTTTACATTGTTGCCTGTTCAAGACTAGTAGAGTACAAGTGCAGGCACAGAGTATCAAGAGTCATCAGATAGAATTGTAGTGTAGAGCCACCTTATGCAGTGTAGTATCTAGACCTGAGTATATGTGGTGAGGTGTTAGGCCTGAAGCCTGGGTGTTTCCTGCTGTCTCTCCCCAGAGCTCTGAGCTCTCAGCAGCTGACGTTAGCCTCTGTGATGGTGGTGGACACTCCAGGCCTCCGCAACCCCAGACACAGTGGAGAGGAGAGGGCTGCAGGCTGGTCTGAACTCTGTCACAACTACCTACAAGAGAGACTGCTGGAGTACTACTACACACACACTTTCACACACACACTGGACAGATATGCACAGGTACAGATACACACACACACACCTTTACACACTCACACACACACACACACGCTCATGTAATGTAATCTGTACTGTTGTTCCAGGAGAAGGTTCCAGTAGACTTTGAAGCTCCAGAGACCAGTCCTACTGAGGTTGTGTCCTCCATAGACCAGCCTGCTTTACAGGTAATGCATACACAACCCCCTGCTACATGTACCTAACACATACACAGCAGAAGTCAATGACCGACCGTCTAAACAGACTACAACTCCCAGCCTCCTTTGGGAGCACTGCCATCAAGTGTGCCCCAGAGTGTTCCGGGCACAGATTGGCATCACCAGATGGACATGGTGTGTATGTCCGTGTGTGTGTTAGGTGCGAGGGGCGGAGGGAGACCCCAGAGGACTGCTGTGGGTTCTAGATGAGGAGATGGTGACTCCGGGATCAACAGAAAACACTGTCCTGGAGAGAGTCTGCCAGTACTACAGCTCCACTGGTGAGACAGGGGGAGATGGGTGAGGGGAGCGAGAGAAAGAGAAAGAGGGAGTGGAGGGGGAGAGAGAGAGAAAAGGGTGAAGTGTTTGTTTGTGTGTGACTGTGTGCAAAAATACGAGTTTGAGCCAGAGTGTGTATGTCCGTGTTTTTGTCTGTTTCAGTGATACAGAAGATATTGTGTCAGCAGTGGACATGTAATTCTGTTGTATGGTAGTGTAGAAGTTGAATTCTAATATCTGGTTTCACTCCTCAGTGCGTCAGTGTGAGCAGCCCATGCAGTGTGAGGTGAGCCACCTGATGGGTTCTGACCCAGTCAGATACGACCTGACTGGATGGTTCAGCCTGGTTCAGAGCAACCCATCTGCTCTCAATGCCATCTCACTGCTGCAGAACTCCTCTGTGTAAGTGTTACCCAATCTCAGATCCACCTCTCCTTGGCCTATTACCATATTGTGTCAATCCAACTCTTTCAGATCTACTAAACGTGTATTATTGACGTGTGCCTTACAATTTTTTGAATGAATCTTGGCTTCAACCTTTCCCTCTCTCTCCCTCTCTTGCTGCCTTTCCTCTCCAGTGGGGTAGTGAAGACGCTGTTCGGCCCCCGTGCCTCTGTGCCCCCTCTGTGTCGTGGTTTGGGAGGGGTGGAGGGGGGCAGCCAGCGCTCGCTACAGAGGAGTGGCACTGTCAGAAAGACATTCAGTGGAGGAATGGCCGCCATACGCAGACACTCCCACTGTATATCAGTCAAACTACAGGCCGTAAATACCCTAATACACACTCCCACTGTATATCAGTCAAACTACAGGCCGTAAATACCCTAATACACACTCCCACTGTATATCAGTCAAACTACAGGCCGTAAATACCCTAATACACACTCCCACTGTCTATCAGTCAAACTACAGGCCGTAAATACCTCAGTATACACGCCCACTGTATTAGCAGTCAAACTACAGGCTGTAAATACCCAAATGCACACTCCCACTGTATATCAGTCAAACTACAGGCCATAAGTACCCCAGTACACACTCCCACTGTATTAGCAGTCAAACTACAGGTCGTAAATACCCTAATACACACTCTCAGTAAATCAGTCAAACTATATGCTGTAAGTACTGTAATACTGTAAAATACACACATACAAAATCCCACACTTCTACTGTGTCTGTCTGATAATGTTTTTCTCCATCTTCCTCCTTCCCTCCCCCTCCATCCAGGATGCTCTATTGAATCTGATTCGTCGAGCCAGGCCAGTGTTCATGCAGTGTGTGTGTGCTAAGACAGACAGTGGTAGCGGAGGTTTTGATATCCCTGCTCTCAGGGTCCAGCTGCACTCTACACACATCCTCCCCGCGCTGCAGCTCTACCGCACAGGTTAGTGTTAGCCTAGAATTGGCCCTCAGATACATGTGCACAGTGCAGGTTAGTAGTGTTGGCCATTCTGCACAGGTTATCAAGTTGATAAAGGGAATTTTGGTGCCAACATAGTGCTCACCTGTATATTTATGGTTCTGAAGGCAGCAACCCACCCTATTATCACTCACTCTCTCCCCCCTCTCTCTTTGTCTCCCAGGTTATCCGGAACACATGACTCTGAGTGACTTCAGGTGTCGTTTCCAGGCTCTGTCTCCTCTGGTCATGAAACGCTATGGTTCAGTCTTCATCACCCCAGATGAGAGGAAGGCAGTGGAGGAGCTGCTGGTAGAACTGGATCTGGACAAGAAGAGTATCGTACTGGGAGCCGGCAGGGTGAGAGAGAGAGAGAGAGAGAGAGAGAGAGAGAGCTTCTGTTCTGACAGAACTGAGCTCCTTAGAGTCAGTCTCTGACACACTGTGTCTCTGAAGTTTAGCTAGTTACAGTACTTCATTTTTCCACTCTCTCTGTCTCTTTCGCTCCCTTGCTTTCTCTCTCCCTCTCTGTCTCCCCTTCCCTCTCTTTCTCTCCCTCCCTCTCTCTGTCTCTTCCCCCTTCTCTCTCTCTCGCTACCCTCTCTCTTTGTCTCTCCCCATTCTCTCTCTCCCTCCTCTCCCCTCCCCAGGTGTTTATGAAGCGAGGTGTGTTAAAGTACTTGGAGCAGCAGAGAGACAAGCTGGTCAGTGATTGGCTGGTTCAGCTACAGGCTGCCTGTATGGGACACCTGGCTAGACAACAATACCGCAAAATGAAGGTGAGTCTGACCCATGACTCTAACCCGTGACCTCCAACCCCTGACTGCTAACCCAGGTGAAACATGCTGTAATGTGTTAGGTTAGGTGCTGGTGTAACACACACATTCAGTGACTCTGGTATAAAGGTGTCACCCTATAATGTGTCTCCCTATAATTGTGGTTAGGTACAGTAGGTGGGATGCAGGTGTAACACGGATGTATCTCTGTCTGTTCCCATACAGGTGCAGCAGATGGCTGTGAGGTGTTTCCAGAGTAACATCCGTACTCTGAGACGGGTGGCCAAGTGGAGCTGGTGGAAACTGCTGTGTAGAGTACGCCCCCTACTGGACGTTAACATGGACGACCAGAGACTCAGAGCCAAGGAGGTAGGAATCGATTCACAGACTACTCAGTGGTTCAGAACTAAAGAAGTATGAGTTAATTCAGAGACTACTCAGTGATTCAGCGCTAAAGAGGTATTAGTTGATTAAGAGACTACTCAGTGATTCAGAGCTAAAGCGGCATTAGTTCATTCATGATTCAGAGCCAAACAGGAACTACTTGATCCAGTGTCCAAAGCCTTTTGAATAGACTCAAAGACAGAGTTACAAGCGCTTTGCTTTAACATTGGACATTTGGAGATAGAAGATGTGGTAAAATACTTTGATTTCCCAGGATGAGATCATGGCTGTGAGACGACGGCTGGAGAAGTCTGAGAGGGATAGGAACGAACTGAGACAGACCACTGACATCCTGGAGACCAAGGTGGGTAAAGTGTAAAGTTATAGGGTTAGTACATTGTAAAGTTTAGGGGGACAGTATAGTGTTTGAAGACAGTGGGTAAAGTTCTGGTTGCGAGTGAAGATGTGTGCGTGTCCTGTAGGTGACGGCGGTGTTGTCGGAACTAAGTGACGAGCGTTTCCGTGGTGAAGCTGTCAGTCAGGCGCTGGACATGGAGAGAGGAGAGAGACTACGACTCACCAGGGAGAACAAGGAAATACAGGTAGTATTAGAACAGACATATCTTTCTCTGTATATACTCAAGGCCCACATCACAATTACAATTGTGTCACATAATACAGTATGTAATCTCGGTTAACCCAGAACTAAAATCTCACGTAATTTACATAGCCTGGCCACGACAGATTATACACTGTGAGGTTATCTCATTCTCTCTCACTCTCTCTCTCTCTCTCTCTCTCTCTCTCTCTCTCTCTCTTCCTCTCCCTCCGTCTCTCAGGCTCAGATGGACCAGTGTAAGGTCACCATGGAGATGCTGGAGAAACAGTTGGAGGAGGAGAAACAGAAAGTCCAGAGCAGAGAGTCCAGGACAGAGACAGGGACAAGCTGGGGAACTACTATAGGTAACTGCCTTTCATTTTGATTGAACAATAGGTCAAAATCACACACACTGAACTGAAGGTTTGACTGCACTGGATGTTACTAATTGCTGATCTGGGTTATACTGACATCATGATGCATCAGTGAGAATGCAGAATAAATGGAACACAGAAAAGGCAACACAGAGTCACATGGGGGGAGTGTTTGTTACAAGGTTATTATAGTTTTGTGATTTTATATTCGTTTTCATTTCTATTTGTTTTTATTTGTTTCAGTTTTCAGATTTTCTAGTTTTTATTTAGTTTCAGTTTGATAAAAACAGTTATATTTTGTTTTTATATTATTTAGTTCCAGTTTTCATGTTAGGGACAGAAAGTAGCCTATGTGTGGGAGGTTAGGAGACATTTATGTGTTGTAGGCCTATAGTTTGTGTTTTTTTGGGATGTCACTTCATGCTACTGGGGGACATCAACAAGGTGATGGTCATAGGTTTTGGTTAGGCCGCATTCCAGAGTTTAGACGTTGCTGACGCCTGACTGATCTTACAACGCCCGGACAGGTATTTTAAGTATCAGCTAACCACATCATATGTTATAGCAATCTGTCAGTCGATGACACAGTCGATGACTTGGCACGCAACCATTGATTGATGCATGCAACGTCTGAGCAGAGGAATGCAACCGTTTTCGGCTTATTGCCCCCGCCCCAGAACAAAACATCTCACTGGCTAATTTTTCTGTTCGGGCGGGGCCACTCTGGTCTGCTTATTGCCCCCTTCTTCCCTGTTGTTAGCTAGTGATAGCAAAGAGTATCTATTATATTGATAAGATGTTCAATTAACCCCTCTAACAATGAAAATACATGTCCTCAAAGATGGAAGGCAGGCGGGAGGAGACGAGATCAGGTGGGACCATTCTAGCCAACTTATCGGTATATTTGTAACAACTTACTCCGTTTGGTCAAATAAGCCTCACGTAATTTGACACAATCTCATAGACCTCCATGCAAAAAGGTCTGCTTATCTCGCGGGGACAGATTTTGGGCGGAGGTAATCCTCCCGCTTCGCCTTATCCTCTCTGGTAATAGCTAGTAATAGTAACAAGCTAGGCCTATTTGAAACATTGCCATCTACTGGCAGCATTTAACTGCCAGAATCAGAAGCTCGAAAACCCAATTACAAAAAAAGTAGATTTTTGCACAAAGTATTCTTTCTTTTATTTTATAAAAGTAAACATAATTTATGATGGTTTTTATTTTATTTTGTTAACCTTGGTTTGTAGCAGAGTCACATGGGAGGAGGGTTTGTATGGAGGTTGAGTAAAGGAGATTTAAGGTTTGGTGGTTAAGGGGTTTGGATTGGCCTTTTAGGACGGTTGTGGGAACAGGTGTGGGGAATCTGGAGGGAGGGGTTGTGATTGGGATTCTTCATGACTCTTCTCTACACACACACACACACACACACACACTGACCCTCTGTTTCCATCCCCCTTTACAGAGAGTGAGATGGCGCTACAGTTAGAGTGTTGCCAGACTGAGGTGGAGTATGTCAGGAGACGACACAAACAGACAGAGGAGAGACTGGAGGCAGAGAGACAGACACGTCTCGAGCTGGACACAAAGGTACAAAACACACGCACTCATACACACACAACGCTACTTCTCAGCATACTTCACCGTTCACACACAGTCAATGTTCTCCTTCTCTCTCTGACTCTATCCCCCCCTGGTGGTTAGGTGGGTTCCCTACAGGCCCAGCTGGAGCAGTCTAAGAGGAGCGCCACAGAGTTGAAGCGGCAAGTTCGCCGTGTCACCTCTGACCTCCAGGACACCCGCGTTCTCACTGACAGCCTGCAAGGCCGCGCTCACGAGCTGGATCGCAAACAGAGGAGGTGTGTGTTTGTGGGATGTGCGTGTGTGTGTGTGTGTGTATAAGGAGCTTCATTCAAACAAAAGTGTGTGTGTATGTTTCCAGGTTTGACAGTGAGTTGACCCAGGCTCTAGAAAGAGCAGACAGTGAGAGGGAACTGAAGGATAAAGCTATTCAGGAGAGCACTGCTCTGGGGGCACAGATATACACCCTGAGACGCACCCTACAGGTATGTGTATTTCTCTCTTCAAAAACATAGGTGCAGTTAGTGTGATCGTCCAGGGTTTCGAATCCAGGCTATCTGCAAGACTCAAGACTGTGTTATCCCAGTAAGCCCCCTGAGCTTGAAGGGATACTACGGTATTTTGGCAATAAGACACTTTATCTACTTCCCCATTTTTATGTTTCTGTGTCCAGTATGAAGGAAGTCTATGGGTATCTGCTAACACAAATTAGCATTGGCTTGCGAAACGACCTCTTTTCTTCATACTGGACAAATATAAAAATACAATAGAAAAAATGGGTATCCACAAGTTCATCTACTCTGGGGAAGTAGATAAAGGGCCTCATTGCCGAATTCCCAAAGTATCCCTTGAAGCCGAGGGTCTGGGTGTTAACACAAGGTTTAAGGTCTCAGGCAAGGTTACTAATCACATAGCATGAAGTTCACCAAACCACATCCACTTCTTTTACACAGTTGTCACAGTAGGTACAGCCTTATTAACTTCTGCTGTGTCTGCATGTAACAGGTGTGAAATGGCTAGCTAGTTAGCGGTGCGCGTTAGTAGCATTTCAATCAGTGACGTCACTCGCTCTGAGACATTGCAGCATCAATGTAACAGTGTTGCTTCCGTCCCTCTCCTCGCCCCTACCTGGGCTTGAACCAGGGACCCTCTGCACACATCGACAACAGTCACCCTCGAAGCACCAATACCCGTCGCTCCACAAACGGTCTCAGAGGTCTCAGAGCGAATGACGTCACCGATTGAAACGCTACTAGCGCGCACCGCTAACTAGCTAGCCATTTCACACCAGTTACATGTACTCATTTCTGTATGTGTGTGTAGGAGAGCCAGGTGGAGGTGGTACGTGTGCAACAGCAGAAGGAGGAGCTGTGTGCCCAGATCCGTGACCTCAGCGTGCCCTTTCACCTGGCCTCTGATTCGCTGCCGGACCTGAAGAAGCAGCTCCGCCTCCTGGAGACCCAGACTAATGAGAGAGGAGAGGAGCTCACCAAGCTCACTGCTAAGATACAGCAGGCACAGCAGGTATGCATAAACACACACACACTCACGCACATATAGTACACTCACTCACTCACACAGACAAACTCATTTACAAGATGTCTGAACTCAACTATCTGCTCTCTCTCCCTCTTTGTCCACCCCTCCCGCTCTAGGTACACCTGCGTTTGGAGATGGAGATAGAGAGAATGAAACAGATCCATCTTAAAGAGCTGGAGGATAAAGAGGAGGAGTTAGAGGACGTACACAAGTCCTCTCAGAGACGGGTAGGTCACCGCTACTGACCACAGAATGGGACCACTGCTTAGGGTTAGAACAGTTAGCTGAGTGTCAGCTGTTTGAGAATATTTGAATCCTAAGCAACCTGCCTACATATTGTTTGAATTAAAATAGACCAACATAGCTACTGTAGTAGGTCAAAGCCGTATCCTGGAAAACCTTCGTAGAGCATGGGTGAAGGCATGTACATTTCCTTTCTTTTCCTGCTTCAGATCCATGCCTACTTCTCACTTAAAACATCGTTTTTGTGTTTAATATATAAAGTACATGGTTCCTTTGTTTGACTGTTGAACATGGTTACACGATGTCCTCTAAAACACCTGGTTCCTTTGCTCATTTGTGTTAATTATAATAGGGTTCTTTTCATTGCCTTGTAGCTGCGTCAGCTGGAGATGCAGTTGGAACAGGAGTATGAAGAGAAACAGATCGTCGTCCACGAGAAACACGACCTGGAGGGACTGATAGCGACACTCTGTGACCAGGTACACACACACACTCACACAAACTACACACAAACAAATGCACACACAAACTCATGTACGCACACACACACACAATACATACTGTACTCATACAAACATACACTCGCATAAACATACACTCACACACAAATGCACACGTGCACACTGACACACACACACAGAGACATATATATGCAGGCACACACACACACACACACACACATTACTAGCTCTCAGTATAGACAGGGGCCTCATCAACACCACAGAGTACACAGCACCGCATGCTGCATTGACAGGTCTGCTATCACTGATACAGTAACTGTGCAGTCCTGAATTTACATATTGATAGACTGTGGTCAGACTGCTGATACACACACACACATACACCCTTATACACAAACACACACTCACTGCTGCACAAACTCAATCTCATTGGTTTAAAGTGCTGTTGAATCATGCTGGTCTTTCTATTGACGTGCCTCTGGGCCGCAACTGCGTTTGCGCGTGCTTGTGTGTGTGTGTGTTTGCGTGTGTGTGTGTGTGTGCTTTCCAGTCCAGGCATTGGGGCAGTATAGATTTTTCCAGTGTAATGCTCTTTAGGTGATGAATTCAGCATGTCACTTCTACCAACAGGCAATACAAAGAAACCCAATATAGCAGGCAGCCGAAAGCCTCTACAACACCTCCTCTGTCAGTCCAGGAAGATGTAGAGTCTGTTTCTGCCTCCCCATGTACAATGCATAAGCCCCACTAACTCCCTCATACCAACAATGAAGAGAAGAGAGAGAGATCGAGAGAGAGAGAAGAGAGAGAGCGGACCTATAGAGAGCCGATAGAGAGAGAGATCGATAGGATAGAGAGAGCAAAGAGATACAGCGCAGTAGCTAGCTCGCTCCACTCTCGCTCTCTGCGCTCTCTTCGTCGCGCTATCTCTCTCTCTCGCTCCTCTCGCTCGCGCTCTATCCGCGCTCTCTCTCTATACTCTCTCGCTCCTCTCTCTCTCCCTCTCTCCTCTCCTTTGAGACGAGCGAGGACTTAGTTGCACACAGGAAGAGAGCATTTTAAAGTTCACACAGGACGGAGCATTTTACCAGGATAGGACAGACTGACCCTAGCCCCCCAGCACATAGACTGTTGCAGCATAGATACTGGAGGCTGAGACAGGGAATATAGCTAAAAAAGCCTGGCACGACGTGATGCACCCCTCCTAGGGACGGCATTTAAGAGCACTAGTAAGCCAGTGACTCAGGCCCCATAATAGGGTCAGAGGCAGAGAATACCAGTGGAGAGAGGGGAGCCAGCCAGGCAGAGATAGCAAGGGCAGTTCGTCACTCCAGTGACTTGTCGTTCACCTTCGCACCCCTGGGCCAGACTACACTGGGGCGGCAGGTAGCTTAGTGGGTAAGAGCGTTGTGCCAGTAACCGAAAGGTCGCTGGTTCTAATCCCTGAGCCGACTAGGTGAAAAATCTGTCGATGTGCCCTTGAGCAAGGCACTTAACCCTAATTGCTTCTGTAAGTCGCTCTGGATAAGAGCGTCTGCTAAAATGACTAAAATGTAAATGTAAATGTACACTCAATCATAGGACCTACTGAAGAGATGAGTCTCAATTTGGTTGAGGCCAGGTCATCTGATGCAGCACTCCATCACTCTCCTTCTTGGTAAAATAGCCCTTACACAGCCTGGAGGTGTGTTGGGTCATTGTCCTGTTGAAAAACAAATGATAGTCCCACTAAGCCCAAACCAGATGGGATGGCATATCGCTGCAGAATGCTGTGGTAGTCATGCTGGTTAAGTGTGCCTTGAATTCTAAATAAATCACAGACAATGTCACCAGCAAAGCCATAACACCTCCTCCTCCATGCTTTACAGAGGGAAATACACATGCGGAGATCATCCGTTCACCCACACCGTCTCACAAAGACACAGTGGTTGGATCCAAAAATCTCCAATTTGGACTCCAGACCAAAGGACAAATCTCCACCGGTCTAATGTCCATTGCTCGTGTTTCTTGGCCCAAGCAAGTCTCTTCTTATTATTGGTGTCCTTTATTAGTGGTTTCTTTGCAGCAATTCAACCATGAAGGCCTGATTCACACAGTCTCCTCTGAACAGTTGATGTTGAGATGTGTCTATTACTTGAACTCTGAGGCAGGTAACTCTAATGAACTTATCCTTTGCAGCAGTTTCATCATAGCGCTTGATGGTTTTTGCGACTGCACTTGAAGAAACTTTCAAAGTTCTTGAAATGTTCCGTATTGACTGACCTTCATGTCTTAAAGTAATGATGGACTGTCGTTTGTCTTTGCTTATTTGAGCTATTCTTGCCATAATATGGACTTGGTCTTTTACCAAATAGGGCTGTCTTCTGTATACCCCTCCTACCTTTTCACAACACAACTGATTGGCTGAAACGCATTAAGAAGGAAAGAAATTCCACAAATTAACTTTTAAGAAGGCACACCTGTTAATTGAAATGCATTCCATGTGACTACCTCATGAAGCTGGTTGAGAGAATGCCAAGAGTGTGCAAAGCTGTCATCAAGGCAAAGTGTGGCTATTTGAAAAATCTAAACATCTAAAATATACACTTTTTTGGTTACTACTATGTGTTATTTCATAGTTTTGATGTCTTCACTATTATTCTACAATGTAGAAAATAGTAAAAATAAAGAAAAACCCTGGAATGAGTAGGTGTTTGTGACGCGTACTGAGTATACGAAGAGGCAGGACGCAGACGCAGGAATTAACAAGGTCAAGGTTTACTTAACAATAAACAAGAGAAATAACAAAGATAGAGTAAACGACATGAAGCTAAACAATCACACACAACATCATCCAGAACAGTCCAGGGCTAAATAGGGGTGGTGATGAGATGATGAGGTGCAGGTGTGCTGGAGGTGATTAGGGTGCGTTGGGTTTCCATTCCGGTGTTGCCGAGGTGGTGCGCTCAGGCTGGTGGCTCAGGCTGGTGGCTCAGTAGACCGGCGAATCAGAGCACCGGAGGGGAGCAACGGGAGGAGACGTGACAGTGTTCTAAAACTTTTGACCGGTAGTGTAGGCCAATAGTTTTTAAAATGTTCCGGGTGAAGGTTGGCTTTTTCATGACAAGCTTTATTACTGCCACTTTTAGTGAGTTTGGTACACATCCGGTGGATAGGGAGCCGTTTATTATGTTCAACATAGGAGGGCCAAGCACAGGAAGTAGCTCTTTCAGTAGTTCAGTTGGAATAGGGTCCAGTAGGCAGCTGGAAGAGGCCATGACTATTTTCGTGAATGTGTCGAGAGATACAGGATTAAAAAATTTGAGTGTCTCCATTGATCCTAAGTCCTGGCAGTTCTGTGCAGACTCAGGACAACTAAGTTTTGGAGAAATACACAGATTCAAAGAGGAGTCCGTAATTTGCTTTCTAATGATCATGATCTTTTCGTCAAAGAAGTTCATGAATTCATCACTGCTGAAGTGAAGGTCATCCTCTCTTGAGGAATGCTGCTTTTTAGTTAGATGAAGGCCTTCCTCTCTTGAGGAATGGTGCTTTTTAGTTAGTTTTGTGACAGTATCAAAAATACATGTTTGATTGTTTTTAGTCTCCTCAATTAGGTTGGAAAAGTAGGCTGATCGAGCAGCATTGAGGGCTCTTCGATATTGCATGTTACTGGCTTTCCAAGCTAGTCGGAAGACTTCCAGTATGGTGGAGCGCCATTTCCGTTCCAATATTGTGGAAGCTTGCTTCTCTGATATTTTCTGTTTACCACAGAGAACATTTCTTGTGAGAAATATTTTTTGTTTTTAGAGATGTGACTGCATCTATGGTATTATGCAAGGTTCAATTTAGATTCTTGGTTAGGTGGTTAACTGATTTTTGTTCTCTGACGTCCTTGGGTAGGTGGAGGGATTCTGGAAGGGCATCTAGGAATCTTCGGGTTGTCCAATAATCTATAGCACAGCTTTCGATAATCCTTGGTTGGGGTCTGAGCAGATTATTTGTTGCGATTGCTAACGTAATAAGATGTTGGTCCAGGATTATAAGGAAAAACTTTGAGATCCACAATATTTATTCCACGGGACAAAACTAGATCCAGGGTATGACTATGGAAATGTGTAGGTCCGGAGACATGTTGGACCAAACCCACTGAGTCGATGATGGCTCCGAAAGCCTTTTGGAGTGGGTTTGTGGACTTTTCCTTGTGAATATTGAAGTCACCAAAAATTTGAACATTATCTGCCAGGACTACAAGGTCAGATAGGAAGTCAGGGAACTCAGTGAGGAACGCTGTATACGGCCCATGAGGCCTGTAAACAGTAGCTATAAAAAGTGATTGAGTAGGCTGCATAGATTTCATGACTAGAAGCTCAAAAGACTGAAATTAGTTTTTTATTTGCTGTCGTAAATGTTAGCAACACCTCCGCCTTTGAGGTGATGCGCGGGGGATATGGTCACTAGTGTAACCAGGAGGAGAGGCCTAATTTAACACACTAAATTCATCAGGCTTGAGCCATGTTTCAGTCATGCCAATCACATCAAGGTTATGATCAGTGATTAATTAATTGACTATGACTGCCATGGAAGTGAGGGATCTAACATTAAGTAGTCCTATTTTGAGATGTGAGATATTATCACAATCTCTTTTAATAATGACAGGAATGGAGGATGTCTTTATTCCAGTGAGATTGCTAAGGCGAACACCGCCATGTTTAGTTTTGCCCGACCTAGATCGAGGCACAGACACGGTCTCAATGGGGACAGCTGAGCTGACTACACTGCCTGTGCTAGTGGCAGACTCCACTAAGCTGGCAGGCAGGCTAACAGCCTGCTGCCTGCACCCTATCTCATCCTTCTACCAGGTGGGCCACAGGGACTTTGACGTGGAGAAGAGACTGAGGAGAGATCTGAAGAGAACCCATGCTCTGCTGGTGGACGCTCAGCTACTACTGTCTACCATAGACAACCCTGGACACAGCCAGGCCCCCGACAGCAAGGAACACATAGAGCGCCTGCACTGCCAGGTAAACACACACACTATGATGTTATGAAAGTGAATCAAGGTGTGTTTTAGACTCACAATTACAAAAAGATCTTCCACTCCCTCTCCCTGTCTTTCTCTCGCTCCCTCTATCTCTCTCTGTCAGTTGGAGGAGAGCGAGGCGAGGAGAGCGGAGGTGGAGAGTGTTCAGAAGACTCTGTCCATGGAACTGGAGAATGCTCAGATAGAACTAGAGAACATCTGCAAACACAAGCATCTGGTGAGCGAGATAGAGGCCTCATGCTGCACCACTACTACAACTGGTACTAGAATATTATAATGATCAGTCGTGTTCGGGAACTTTGAACATCAAAGTGTTTACAGTCCTACTGAAACCAACAGTAACAGGATCCTGTAGATATGTGAGGACAACAATCTATTGAAGAGAGTCGTTTTAAAGTGTGTGCGTCTATGTGTAGGTGGATGAGCAGGTAGCCCAGCTCCAACATGAGAATTCAGATCTGTTGAAGAGACTAGAGGAGGACCAGGAGGACCTTAATGAACTCATGAAGAAACACAAAGCCCTCATCGCACAGGTGGGTTCCCTCTCTGCCTCATAGTGGCTCAAAATCATGTATAAAAACTTTGCAGGTTCTAAAATTAAAGATGACCAAAACATGATCTTTCTCTCTCTCAGTCCTCCAGTGATATCTCTCAGATCAGAGAGTTGCAGGCTGAACTGGAGGAAGTCAATAAACAGAGACACACACTACAGGAAGAGGTAAGGACTGACAGCTGAGTAATGTGGGGAGATGGTGAACTACACATGCTGTTACTGTGGATAGGAGACTGGCTGAATAACACACTCTGCCATTCCTCTTGTCCTTCGGCCCCTCCTCCTCTCTGTTCCTCTCCTCCCTCTCAGCTTGCAACGAGTGTGGCCAGGGTACAGTTCCTGGAGTCGTCCACCGTGGGCCGTAGTATCGTCAGTAAGCAGGAGGCCAAGGTGTGTGACCTGGAGAACAAGCTGGAGTTCCAGAGAGGACAGGTCAAGAGGTTTGAGGTAAAACGACAACACAAAATGGACAGTAACTTTATCTTACTCTGTCTCTCTTTCACTCTAATATCTCTCTCTTTCTCTCAATTGAATTCAATTTAATGGTGCAATATTGGCATGGTGTACATATTGCCAAAGCAGAAATTCTGAAATTCTATAAATAATGAAAATAATAATCTCTCAGAAAAATCTCTTTGTAGGTGCTGGTGCTGCGTCTGAGGGACAGTGTGGTGCGCCTGGGAGAGGAGCTGGAGCAGAGTGCCGAGACAGAGGCCAGGGAGAGAGAGAACAGTCAGTACTACCAACAACGCCTCCACGACATGAGACATGAGATGGAAGACCTGGCTCAGAGAGAACATGACAGCAGCCGCAGACGCATGGAGCTGGTAACACACACTATACACTGATTGTACAAAACATTAAGGACACCTTCCTAATATAGAGTTGCACCCCCCCACCCCTTTTGCCCTCAGAACAGCCTCAATTCGTCGGTACATGGACTCTACAAGGTGTCGAAAGCATTCCACAGGGATGCTGGCCCATGTTGACTCCAATGCTTCCCACAGTGGTGTCAAGTTGGCTTGATTGCCTTTGGGTGGTGGACCATTCTTGATACACACGGGAAACTGTTGAGCGTGAAAAACCCAGCAGCGTTGCAGTTCTTGACACAAACCGGTGCGCCTGGCACCTACTACCATACCCATTCAAAGGCACTTCAATATTTTGCCTTGCCATTCACCCTTTGAATGACACATTCACCCTTTGAATGGCACACATACACAATCCATGTCTCAATCGTCTCAAGGCTTAAAAATCCTTCTTTAACCTGTCTCCTCCCCTTCATCTACACTGATTGAAGTGGATTTAACAAGTTACATCAATAAGGGATCATAGCTTTCACCTGGATTCACCTGGTCAGTCTATGTTATGGAAAGAGCAGGTGTCCTTAATGTTTTGTATACTCAGTGTACACACACTCATACACACACTGTACACACACAAACACATACTCATATACATGCTACACACACTATACACACCTCACAAAGAGAGAACAGGATAGTAGCCGCAGACATATGACACACACACACACACGAGAGCAGGGCGGTATCTGTAGTGATTGTGTTGTGTGTGTTTCTGTGTATGTAGGCTATAGGTATGTGTGTGTATATATGTGCCTGTTATGTATTCTGAGTGTCAGTAACACTGATGCCCTTTCACAACCTAATGTCCAACCACGCAGACACACAAAGCGAGATACAAACACACACACTCACTCTCTGTCTCCCCTGCATTCTCTCTCTAGCTGTGCCACTGTCTGGCTGTGATTAATCCTCATAGCCTTCTCAAGGTTAAGGACACACACACACCCCATCCCACTCCCCGTGTCTCTATGACAACCACTAACCCCCCCCCCCCACACGTGTGTGTGCGTCATAAAGGGTGTATGTCATATGTACACTTCATGTCATGTGCGCTAGTGTGTGTCGTACATTTGAGTGAATGAGCTAGTGTTTGTGTGTGTGTGTGTGTGTGTGAGAGGGAGAGAGAGATGACAGGATGAGAGCAGGGAAAGGGGAAGATTAATAGATCAATCACTCTCTTCTTTCTGTCTACGGAAAAATGCTCCTCGAGAACCCTGACAAACACACATACACACTCTACAGGAAGGCCCAGGACCCGCGGGTGTGTGTGTTTGTGGGTATGTGTACCACAGTATATGACTGATGGTATGATAAGAAATGGGCATTATTATAAGACTCATCCATATTGGCCTGTATTGAATAGCATGGATAAACTTACAGTTGGCCTCTGGCACGGACGCACGCACGCACACACACACACACACACACACACGTTCTTAGCGTTCCTTGTGGCATGTCTGTCACCTCACCTATGGACACATCTCTCACCTCACCTATGGACACATCTCTCTTTTTCTCTCTCTCTGTTCTCAGGAGATGCAAGTGACGGAGCTGAGTGCAGTCAGACAGACATTACAAGCCGATCTAGAGACATCCATCCGCCGTATTGTTGATCTGCAGGCCGCACTGGAGGAGGTGGAGTCTAGTGACGAGAGTGATGATGATGAGAGGTATTAGTATCTTACTGTGTTTGATGGTGTGAGAGAGGTATAGGGGCAGGGTTAAAGTAATGATGTGTGTTGGAAGAATGACTCTGTTAGGAGTTAGGTGGTCCCGTGTAGCTCATTTGGTAGAGCATGGCGTTTGCAACGCCAGGGTTGTGGGTTCGATTCCCAGTATGAAAATAAAAAAAACGTATGCACTCACTAACTGTAAGTCGCTCTGGATAAGAGCGTCTGCTAAATGACTAAAATATAAATGTAAAATGAGTCAAGGACAGGTACAGGTGTGTTCACAAGGAAGTTACATTATCACTGATCTGACCACTGACCTTTGACCCCTCTCCCCAAGTGTTGCGACGGCTGTGGAATCCTTGACTAGAAAGAGAGACCTGTAAGAACCCTGGGTCCCTGTGTGTGTGTGCGTGTGCGTGTGCGTGTGCGTGTGCGTGTGCGTGTGCGTGTGCGTGCGCGTGCGTGTGCGTGTGCGTGTGCGTGTGCGTGTGCGTGTGCGTGTGCGTGTGCGTGTGTGTGTGTGCGTGTGTGTGTGCGTGTGCGTGTGCGTGTGCGTGCGTGTGCGTGCGTGTGTGTGTGTGTGTGTTTTCAGACCAGTCTGTTCTCTGACTTGATCCCAGGGCTGTTGATGATGTGGACAGACAGAGCATGTTGCAATGCTAGTTGTGAGCTGAATAGCCTTGTTGTGAGCTGAATAGCCTTGTTGTGAGCTGAATAGCCTTGTTGTGAGTGGCTGTGTGCATGGCTAGATGTCTGAGCTGTCTGACTGCTCCATTCTACAGAGGCACTTAGCTCCAAAACCCTGTTGGTTTGTCTTGTGGTCTGTGTGTGGACAAGTTCGAGAACCACATGGCTGGAGCAAAGAAATACACGCACACACGTTTAAGAGACACAAGAAGCTTTTCTCTGTTCTAAGGGGTGTGTTTGAGAGTTCACCAGCTGTGATATTCTTGTCTTCAATAAAGCATGGTACTTACAGTACAGAAGCCAGTTCTGCTCTCTCTCTCTCTCTCTATCTCACTCTCTCCCTCCTGTCCCTCTCTATCATCATTTTACCGTTCCCTCTCTCAATCTCGCCTGCTCTGTCGCTTCTCCATCCCTCTCTCTGTTCTCTTCAACTTCTCTTCCTTGACCTATTACTTTTTAATTCTCGCTCCCTCCATCTACCTCTCTTCCACCTCTCTCTCTCCCACCTCTCTCTCTCTCCCACCTCTCTCTCTTCCCCTCCTCTCTCCACCTCTCTCCTCTCCTCTCTCTCCCACCCTCTCTCTCTCACACCCTCTCTCTCTCTCTCTCCCACCTCTCTCTCTCCACCCCTCTCTCTCCCACCTCTCTCTCTCCCACCTCTCTCTCCCACCCCTCTCTCTCCCACCCTCTCTCTCCCACCCCTCTCTCTCCCTCACCCTCTCTCCCACCCTCTCTCTCCCCCTCTCTCTCCACCTCTCTCTTCCCCTCCTCACCTCTCTTCTTCCACCTCTCTCTCCCACCCTCTCTCTCCCACCATCCTCTCTTCCACCTCTCTCTCCCCCCTCTCTCTCTCCCACCTCTCCTCTCCACCTCTCTCTCCACTCTCTCTCTCTCTCTCCACCTTCTCTCTCTCCCACCTCTCTCTCTCCCACCTCTCTCTCTCCCACCTCTCTCTCTCCCACCTCTCTCTCTCCCACCTCTCTCTCTCCCCACCTCTCTCTCTCCCTCCTCTCTCCCCCTCTCTCTCTCCCACCTCTCTCTCTCCCACCTCTCTCTCTCCCACTCTCTCTCCCACTCCTCTCTCTCTTCCCACCTCTCTCTCTCCCACCTCTCTCTATCCCACCTCTCTCTCTCCCACCTCTCTCTCCCACCTCTCTCTACCACCTCTCTCTCTTCCACCTCGCTCTCTCCCACCTCTCTCTCTCTTCCATCTCTCTCTCCCACCTCTCTCTCTCTTCCACCTCTCTCTCTCTTCCACCTCTCTCTCTTCCACCTCTCTCTCTTCCACTCTCTCTCCCACCTCTCTCTCTTCCACTCTCTCTCTCCCACCTCTCTCTGGGGGCGCTGATGGCAGATGGGAGAGGTGGTAGTTAGTTAATATACAGTACCAGTATGTGACCTGAGTGTGAATGTCTGACACCCTGACTGTGTCTCCAATATAATCTGCCACCACCTCCAGTCTCACAGCAGGAGAGAGAGGACACAGAGACAGGGACAGGAAATGTCCTGTGGCTGACCCTGGCTTAGAAGTCTTGCATCACTGGCTGTGTAGCGTCACGTGTCTTCTCTCTCTTGGTAGTATGTGTGATCTCTGCCTCTCAGTGACACTGTGTGTGTGTATTTCTCTCTTCCTCAGCGACAGTGTGTCTAGTGTTGGTTCTCAATCTCTGGGCACGGAGGATGTTGGCGAGGGCATCCGTCATTGGCTGGGCGTTCCCCGAGGGGAGGCTAGGGGGGGCTCTCCCTGTGGCAGCAGTACCATCAGCAACCAGTCGGGGCGCCAGTCTGTCACAGACACCATGAGCACTTACAGCTTCCGGTGAGTCGTCAGTTCAGTTTGATTTAGTACAGTTCAACTTGAATAATTCAATTCAATAGTAACTGCATAGATACTAATCCTCTTTTATATGTCAAATGTTTGATTCTCCTTTCTCTTCCTCTCCCCCAGCTCCTGTGTGGACCCAGATGAGGAGGGTTCAGAACCAGGGGGTTGGGTTGGTAATGGGGATAGTTCAGGCCCTGGTCGGGCCTCCTCCTCCGCCCTCTCCGAGCTGTTAGAGGGTCTTCGTAAGCGGCGAGGGAGGGCAGAGACCGGGGAAGGGGGTGGCAGTACTATTTCTCTCCCTATCTACCAGACCACTGGGGACTCAACCCTCCGCCGCAGAGCCTCAGCCCTCTCCTTGGGCCCCAAGGACCTTCAGGAGCCCCGCAGCATCCTCAAACCTCCTTCCCCACTACTGCCCCGAGCCGCCAGCCTGCGCATTATAAGCGAACCCCAGGCTTCATCTGCAGCCTCCAGGGACTCCGGAGCCAAACGCTACAGCTCCGCCGACTCGCTCTCCTCCCTCCCCTCTCTCCCCCTCACCTCCCCCACTGCTTCCTGCTGTCGCCCACCCACTATCTCCATCCCCGAGGAAGACTGTGAAGAACCAATCAGATCCCTGCGCTCGCCCCAGCCAATGAGACGTAGGCTGCTGGAGAGAGTTGTCAGCGAGGGCGGTGGAGAGGGCTGTCTGGGGTCGGAACCCATGGTGTTCCAGAACCGCCGTCTCCTAGGTGACAGTAACCGTGACGACGCAGCCTCTGACATTCTGCCGGCCATCCGACGGGCCCAGTCCAACAGCAGCCTGGCCAATTCAGTCAGAGGGGGTCGGAGGGCACTCAGTGTCCACTTTGGGGAGCTGCCCCCCTCCACACGCAGCAGGAAGGGCTCTGACTCCAGCTCCACCAGCTCAGGGTCTGGGGGGAGCTCCCAGGGAGGAGGGGTGAGGTGTAGGGGGGGTGCAGGGCTGCAGGGAGAGAGGCTGGAGGCGGAGGGAAGTGAGGGTGGAGACGTGGCTTCTGTCATGAAGAAATACCTGAGGAAGAGTCAGGACATGAGGAAGAGTGAGGTTGACTAAGAGGAGAGGAGAGAGGCTGAGGTGAGGTGTAGCATAGAAACATGCACGCACTGTAAGGCAGTCAACACTACAACGTTTGATGTATTCTAATGCGTTCCTCTCTTCTGCTCTGTTCCCTCTCCCTCTGTTTTCTTTCCTCTTCCCCTCGCTTTCTCTCCCCAGCCTGCATGTGTGTGTGAGGAAGGATAAACTGAAGCCACTCACAGAGATCCCTATGCAAGCTGCAAGGAGTCACACTCAAGCCAAAGAGCCATTGAAGATATACACACTCGTGCCAAAGAATCAATGAAGATAGATACACACTTAAGTTAAAGATGTGCTGAAGATATACAGTACATTCGGAGCATATTCAGACCCATTGACTTTTTCCACACATAGCCTTATCCTAAAATGGATTAAATTAATTGTTTTCCTCATCAATCTATACACAATATCCCACAATGACAAAATTAAAATAGGTTTTTAGAAATGTTTGCTAATTTATTAAAATTAAATAACAGAAATACCTTATTTACATAGGTATTCAGACCCTTTGCTATGAGACTCGAAATTGAGCTCAGGTGCATCCTGTTTCCATTGATCATCCTTGAGATGTTTCTACAACTTGATTGGAGCGCAATCAAGATTTCGAAAGGCCCACACCTGTCTATATAAAAGGTCCCACAGTTGACAGTGCATGTCAAAGCAAAAAACAAGCCATGAGGTCGAAGGAATTGTCCAGAACCTTCCAGAAGGAAAACCATCTCTGCAGCACTCTACCAATCAGGCCATTATGGTAGAGTGGCCAGACGGAAGCCACACCTCAGTAAAAGGCACATGACACTCCGCTTGGAGTTTGCCAAAAGGCACCTAAAGGACTCTCAGACCATGAGAAACAAGATTCTCTGGTCTGATGAAACCAAGATTGAACTCTTTGGCCTGAATCCCAAGGGTCACGTCTGGAGGAAACCTGGCACCATCCCTACAGTGAGCCATGGTGGTGGCAGCATCATGCTGTGGGGATGTTTTTCAGCGGCATGGACTAGGAGACTAGTCAGGATCGAGGGAAAGATGAACGGAGCAAAGTACAGAGAGATCCTTGATGAAAACCTGCTCAAGAGCGCTCAGGACCTCAGACTGGGGCGAATATTCACCTTCCAACAGGACAATAAACCTAAGCACACAGCCAAGACAACGCAGGACTGTCTTCGGGACAAGTCTCTGAATGTCCTTGAGTGGCCCAGCCAGAGCCCAGACTTGAAGCCGATCTAATATCTCTGGAGATACCTGTACAGCAACACTCCTCATCCAACCTGACAGAGTGCCTAGCTTGGTGTGCCAAGCTTGTAGCGTCATACCCAAGAAGACTCAAGACTGTAATCGCTGTCAAAGGTTATTCAACAAAGTACTGAGTAAAGGGTCTGAATACTTATGTAAATGTGATATTTCAGTTTTTTTGTTTTTAATAAATTTGCAAAAGAATCTAAAAACCAGTTTTTGCTTTGTCATTATGGGGTATTGTGTTTAGATTGATAAGGGGAAAAAACGATTTAATCAATTTTAGAATAAGGCTGTAACATAACAAAATGTGGAAGAAGTCAAGGGGTCTAAATACTTTCCGAATGCACTGTATACACATTGAAGTCAGAGTCAATAAAAATATATACACACGCTTAAGTGAAGACTTAATTAAGATACAGTGGGGAGAACAAGTATTTGATACACTGCCGATTTTGCAGGTTTTCCTACTTACAAAGCATGTAGAGGTCTGTAATTTTTATCATAGGTACACTTCAACTGTGAGAGACGGAATCTAAAACAAAAATCCAGAAAATCACATTGTATGATTTTTAAGTAATTAATTTGCATTTTATTGCATGACATAAGTATTTGATACATCAGAAAAGCAGAACTTAATATTTGGTACAGAAACCTTTGTTTGCAGTTACAGAGATCATACGTTTCCTGTAGGTCTTGACCAGGTTTGCACACACTGCAGCAGGGATTTTGGCCCATTCCTCCATACAGACCTTCTCCAGATCCTTCAGGTTTCGGGGCTGTCGCTGGGCAATACGGACTTTCAACTCCCTCCAAAGATTTTCTATTGGGTTCAGGTCTGGAGACTGGCTAGGCCACTCCAGGACCTTGAGATGCTTCTTACGGAGCCACTCCTTAGTTGCCCTGGCTGTGTGTTTCGGGTCATTGTCATGCTGGAAGACCCAGCCACGACCCATCTTCAATGCGCTTACTGAGGGAAGGAGGTTGTTGGCCAAGATCTCGCGTTACATGGCCCCATCCATCCTCCCCTCAATACGGTGCAGTCGTCCTGTCCCCTTTGCAGAAAAGCATCCCCAAAGAATGATGTTTCAACCTCCATGCTTCACGGTTGGGATGGTGTTCTTGGGGTTGTACTTATCCTTCTTCTTCCTCCAAACACGGCGAGTGGTTTAGACCAAAAAGCTATATTTTTGTCTCATCAGACCACATGACCTTCTCCCATTCCTCCTCTGGATCATCCAGATGGTCATTGGCAGACTTCAGACGGGACATGCGCTGGCTTGAGCAGGGGGACCTTGCGTGCGCTGCAGGATTTTAATCCATGACGGCGTAGTGTGTTACTAATGGTTTTCTTTGAGACTGTGGTCCCAGCTCTCTTCAGGTCATTGACCAGGTCCTGCCGTGTAGTTCTGGGCTGATCCCTCACCTTCCTAATGATCATTGATGCCCCACAAGGTGAGATCTTACATGGAGCCCCAGACCGAGGGTGATTGACCGTCATCTTGAACTGCTTCCATTTTCTAATAATTGTGCCAACAGTTGTTGCCTTCTCACCAAGCTGCTTGCCTATTGTCCTGTGGCCCATCCCAGCCTTGTGCAGGTCTACAATTTTATCCCTGATGTCCTTACACAGCTCTCTGGTCTTGGCTATTGTGGAGAGGTTGGAGTCTGTTTGATTGAGTGTGTGGACAGGTGTCTTTTATACAGGTAACGAGTTCAAACTGGTGCAGTTAATACAGGTAATGAGTGGAGAACAGGAGGGCTTCTTAAAGAAAAACTAACAGGTCTGTGAGAGCCGGAATTCTTACTGGTTGGTAGGTGATCAAATACTTATGTCATGCAATAAAATGCTAATTAATTACTTAAAAATCATAATGTGATTTTCTGGATTTGGGTTTTAGTTTCCGTCTCTCACAGTTGAAGTGTACCTATGATAAAAATTACAGACCTCTACATGCTTTGTAAGTAGGAAAACCTGCAAAATCGGCAGTGTATCAAATACTTGTTCTCCCCACTGTATATACACACTCAAGCCAAAGATGTTGTGGATTGTGTGGTTAATTGAAACATTGAGCCCACTGAAGATCAATGATCAGTTAGATTAGAAGCACTGTTATGAAAATAAAAATGTTTGCGAAACTGTGTTCCACCACCTATAAATCTATGGCAAGACTTAAATGGCTGTCTAGCAATGATTAACAATCAACTTGACAGAGCTTAAATATTTATTTTTTTAAGAATAATGTGCAAAGCTCAGAGACAGCTGTAATTGCTGCCAAATGTGATTCTAACTGTATTGGCTCAGGGGTGTGAATACTTATGTCAATTAAATATTTCTGTATTTGATTTTCAATAAATGAGCAACAATTTTGGGGGTATTGTGTGTAGATGGGTGAGAAAAAAAATCAATTTTATCCATTTTGAGTTCAGGCTGTAACAAATTGTGGAATAAGTCGAGGGGTATGAATACTTTTCTGAAGGCACTGTCTAACGCTGGGGTCTGCTTTGAGTTGGTCACTAGTTCTAAGGCAGATGTAGAGGTGGCAGGTAGCCTTGCAGTTAAGAGCGTTGGGTGAGTAACCAAAAGGTCGCTGGTTCAAGTCCCTGAGCCGTCTAGGTGAAAAATCAGCCGATGTGCCCTTCAGCAAGGCACTTAACCCTAATTACTCTGGTCCTGGAGTGCCACAGGTATTGTAGGGTTTATTCCCTAGAATCAGACTACCAGCGATGTCTCCTGTCCAGAATCTAACAGAAAACTGCACTAACGGTTCAGTTGGATTATATTTATGAGGTAGACAGGTAAAGGTAGGGGTCAAGGGAAGCTAGGTGATTTAGGACTGGGTGTCAGACTGCAGTGATGTCTCTCCAGTGTCCTCCAAATCCATCTGTTCACCAGAATCTTACCGAGAACTACACCGAGTATACAAAACATTAACTGCTCTTTCCATGACAGACTGACAAGGTGAAAGCTATGTTCCCTAATGTCATGTTAAATCCACTTCAGTGTAGAAGGGGAGGAGACAGGTTAAAGGAGGATTTAAGCCTTGAGACATGGATTGTGTGTGCCATTGAGAGTGAACGAGCAAGACAAAATATTTAATTTTAAGTTCCTTTGAACGGGGCACGGTAGTAGGTGCCAGGCACACAGGTTTGTGTCAAGAACTGCAACGCTGCTGGGTTTCACACGTATCAAGAATGGTCCACCACCTTAAGGACATCCAACACGGGCCAGCATCGCTGTGGAACGCGTGACACTTTGTAGAGTCCATGCCCCTACGAATTGAGGCTGTTCGTGGGCAAAGGGCAGGTGCAAGTCAATATTGGGAAGGTGTTCCTAATGTTTGGTATACTCAGTGCATATTACAGTCCAGCTGGATATAAAGGCAGGAGCCAATGGAAGTGTTGACCCTAGAGGTAGGGATCAAGTGTAGGTTAATTTGGGACAGGTTGTTCTGCCGCGTTCAAAACTGAACTCAGACTTCAGTGCGTTCAAGAAAACTGGGGGGGGGGGGTTTGAACAGGCACTCAGAATTCCAAGTGGAGAACTCAGGCGTCTTTCTAGAGCTATGACTTTCCGACCTGAAGAGCAGACATGATGACGTTAGATAAACATGACCGACTAACATGGTTTGTAGATTAATGGTGATAACCCAATTATATGTAGTTTCATATACACAGTACATGTTGATTACTACCACTATGACCAGGACAAGACCATTTCTTCCAAACAATTTATTTACAAAGCACCAACATGTACAGGATAAACAGCCTTAGTTTAAATAGTTTGATCCATGTAATGCACAGGTAGAAAGAAACAACTAAATTGATTGACAGAACCTTTGGTCAATCTAAACTGTAACAGGACATTTGGAGCAGCAGCACCTGAAACAGACCAAAGAAATGGTTGTCATTCAGTAAAGCCAAATCAGCAGTCATCAGGCGCCAAGGTTTTATGTGCAATGCTTTATCCTAGATCAGCAGTAAAGCGAGACTAAGGAAAAATCTACTCAAACTAGATTTTAAAATTAGTCCACTGTAGGTCCCAAAATGTTTTGCATGTCAGCAGTCAAGTTTAAGATAAGCGCTTTGCTTCATGGAAAATCCTGTTTGACATTGCAGGCGACTGCAGACTGAACAAATCACCTTGCATCATAAATAACGACTCACTATTTTTAGCTCAGTCCGTGACAATTTTCCCCATCATACAGTTCTGATGATCTAGAACACAGCCAAAGTGTCACATGCCTTGGGGCAAGTGACACTTCGCTTCTTTAAAGTCCAATCTTAACGTACCTGCTGACTTGCAAAACATTTTGTGACTATCGTGGACTATTGAAAAAACATGTACTTAACAAAAATATAAAAACGCAACAATAAACTATTTTACTGAGTTATAGTTCATAAGGAAATCAATTAGGCCCTAATCTCTGGGGCAAGGGCACAACCATGGAAGGCCCACCCACTTGGGAGCTAGGCCCAGCCAATAAGAATGAGTTTTTCCCCCACAAAAGGGCTTATTACAGACAAACTCTTTCATCAGCTGTCCGGGTGGCTGGTCTCAGACAATCCTGCAGGTGAAGAAGCCAGATGTGAAGGTCCTGGGCTGGCATGGTTACACGTGGTCTGCAGTTGTGAGGCTGGTTGGACATTATGCAATATTCTCTAAAACGAAGTTGAAGGCAGTTTATGGTAGAGAAATTAACATTCAATTCTCTGGCAACAGCTCTGGTGGACATTCCTGCAGTTAGCATGCCAACTGCACGCTCCCTCAAAACTTGAGACATCTCTGGCGATATGTAACAGAACTGCACATTTTAGTGGCCTTTTATTGTCCCCAGCAGAAGGTGCGCCTGTAATGATCATGCTGTTTAATCAGCTTCTTGATATGCCACACCCATCAGGTGGATGGATTAGCTTGGCAAAGGAGGAGAAGTGCTCACTAAAAGGGATGTACACAAATTTGACAGAAGCATTGTGCGTATGGAAAATTTCAGAGATCTTGTATTTCAGCTCACAAAACCAACACCTTACATGTTGCGTTTATATTTTGTCCAGTGGAGTGGATTTTCTATATGCCATTTAGCCAAAGCAACCTAGTCATGCGTGCATACATTTGACATACGGGTGGTCCCAGGAATGGAACCCACAATCCTGGCATTGCAAGCACCATGCTCTACCAACAACTTCTGGAGGACCACTCAGGGCTTAGTATTACTCCCCTGAGGCAGTCTCCAGGTAGTCACTTACCTGGGATTACTTTCCCCTGCCTCTTCCTCTCCCCTTTCCCTGAAACACACAGAAACAACCATTTTAAAACCAGGCCAGTCGTGAGTCTAACAGGAGACAGAAGCTTGAGTGCACTATATAGGGAACAGGGTACCATTTGGGACAAAGCCAGAGTTTCTCAGATTGAACAGGAAAGTAAATATAGCAAGGTATAAATATTAAAAAGGCAGAGTAAATATTAAAGCACCTTTTTGGGAGGGTTCTCATCATCTGACGCAGGTCTGGAAGGAGAGAGCATAAATTAGGGCTCTGGCAACCGAATACAGCAACAATTACATTTCTGTAAAGCACTTACAGGAAATGGATTTCATAAATGCATCATAGACGCATCGATTAACACCACTTACTCATCTGCTGCCTCTGGCTTCTTTTTCTGGAAAAGGGGAACAACATTAGCCTGATCAGTTTGTGCATACCATCTCATCGCCAAGCTTGGAATGGACATACTGATGAGTAAGAATAGCACATTCTAGAAGTATGTGTATTTCAGTGCCAAGTGCCCAAATGTCTGAAAATGTTAACTGAAATATAAAATCATTCAAAAATAAAATGTGCTAGAATTTTTCAGATCTAAAAGATACCTTGCCTGCAGCATTTCCATTCTTGGCGGGTGCTTTCTTAGCAGGCTTCACAGGAGACACCTCAATATCTTCCTCCTCCTCCTCATCCATCTCCTCATCACTCTCCATGCCTGAGAAGTCATCCTCCACTTGAAAACAACAAGTTACATAAACGACAGCTCCCAGTTAGAAAGCCCTGTAATTTATGGCTGTCTGAACCTCTTCTAGAGCTACCCCCTGGAAAAACGTTATTATAACACCAGATCCTACAGTAATAAACCAGCTACTCCTCAAGACCATGATAAGCTGGAAGGCTAGAGGCCTTCATTTTCACACCCATCAACCCATCATTTAGGGCATCCCTACTCACGTGCGACGTGTTCCCCACAGATGTAAACAGGTCCGGCTCCACTCTTCAGCCTGAAGGTGACAGGAGGGTGGAGTTCAATCCCAGAGAGATTGACCTGGAGAGATCAATACAGACAATAAGTGTTGCTATTCAAACTGACCTAGGCACCCAACTAGGATAGGCCTGTAACCACTGGTGATTACTCCCTCAACATTAGCAGATTTAAGTTAACTTTAATTAGCCATGTAGGACTAGGGCATTGGGAAGTGCATTTTTATTTTTTATTTTTACAATCATTCAATTGATAAACCTGGTTTTCTATTGTGAAGTTATCGGCACAGCAATAGGCTTAAAATCAAAATTCAGGTTGCCACAGAACAAATTGATTGGGACTACATTTTACCATGGGCATGCCATTGGCATGCAGGGTGGCCATGGGTACACCTTTAACATTAGCCAGTTCTCCAGTAATCAACTCCACAATGTTGAACTCTTCTTTGGCGCCTGCGCCCAGACACATCTGCCAAAGACATGTCAGTCATTTGAAAATGCACCAATGAAGTTATTTAAATTGCGTTCCAGGTTGTATTGATTGCAGTTGTGCTACCCAAATTAACAGATCTCAAATGTAATTCAGACATGCTCAGCAGGGCTGCAATAAAGACAACCTGAAACAAAGTCAGTTCACGTGTTTGTACAGCACTTTTTGGATTGTAAAATGTCAAAGATTCGCCATGTTGAGTAATGACTTACAGTTCTCAGGGCGAGTTGATGTTGGTAGTTTGTGTCATCCGTTTTGAATGTTTCCTCCATCTTTGACTCACTGAGTTCGCAACCTACAAAACAGAATACAAAAATAAGCTGATTCCTTCTAACAGCTCTGAAAACTACATAAAAAAAAAAAAGGCCACTATAGGTACACAATTTCTAGCTAAATATAACCTACCCCATAGTGTCGACAGTGGTTTTTCCTGTTTGTGCATTTTTACAAATTTGAGAGTTTACCTGGGGAAAACAAATATACTCGTGACTCACTCACGTGGAGACAACCTTCACATTAAAAACCATGTGCAACGGAGTAGATACAAAAAAATAATAAGTTATTCAAGGCCTATATTTATTTAGCCGACTAAAGGCCACAGGGAAGGACGTTTCTGGTGGAGTTATCAGTTTAGTCAGCTAATATTTATTAAAACCAAGGAATTTCAACATCAAAGCCTAAATCATAACGTCGCATGAAGTTCCTTACCGAAGACGTTCCACTTCAAATTGATCCTGGACAGATGGAGAACGAGAAATACAATCCCCGAAATTTACGATTATAAAGAAGATGAGAAGACAGGTGACGCTAATAAAGCATCAAGCGCCAAAGCTGATTGGCTCGTTAACGGGCGTGACACATCCTAGAACAGAGGCACTGAGTGATTCCCAATCCACCGCCTAGCCCCTACCAACTCGCTCTGATGGCCCTCTGTTGTCACGTGTTGGTGACTTCCAGAGAGTGGAGATCAATCAACACATCAACTTCTGAACACTCTTGACTTGAATGACACAATTCATGTTCCACTTTTAAATAATAAAACGAGCATGAAATTCAAATGAACAAATACTCATTTGACAAAATATAAACCTCATAAACATTTCATTTGGGAGGTGTTTCATCTTTTACATGTGTCAAGTCTGGACATCAGAAATAAACAAATGCATGTGTCATATAATTAGGCACCCTCTCCATTCTTTTGTGTAAAATTGCTCATCGGGTGCCCAGTAGAGCAGTCATGGAGTGGAGAGCATGTTCTTGAAAATGGCAATGGAAAGTCAAAAAAACAAGGTGTCCGAGTGAGAGCGGTGTGAAGTCTGGATGAGTATGATGACGATGACGCCAGCAACGGAGGGAGGAAGAGTGAGGGGAATACTGGATGAACTGCTGTTGATAATAGTTGGATAAAGAAGGCTAGAATTGAAGTTAGGAAGAAGACGTCTAGTGAGCCTGCTGCTCAGTGCGATCATTCCTCTCAGGAACCTGTAAATAGCTTGAGGTTGATGAGGAGAGTAACCCCACAGAAAAAGAGGAGGATGAGGAGAGTGAAGAAAAAGATGATGAGTTTGAATCCGATTAAGCTAGCAACAACGAGAGAGACGGTGTATCGATGAAGATCGGTGTCAAGTGCAAACAGAATGAGCTGTACTCCAGAACGAGCGCTGGAGGTGATATGGAAGGGAATGGGGATGAATTACCTGAGGTGGCAGGTGTGGTGTTGAGCTTGGAGTCCGAGCCTTACACCGATGGTCATGATAGGAGTGACCTGGTCCAGTAGGAGTGACATTTTTGGATAAAGTGGACCCCTGCCTTTTGGCTGACCCATATGTGGTTTTAGGTTGAGGGAAAAAAGGAGTTAGGTACTGTTGAATCGGTCAAGGTAACACAAAGTGGATTTTTTGTGTGTCTTCTACCCAGAGGGAGCGGCGCTCCGCGCCACGTGAATGGGGACCAGACCTGTTACTTGCTTTGCTCTCAAGAACCGGGCCCAATTGAAAGGAATAATTACTGGGGTAGCGGTAAGGGTGGAGGTGGATCAACTGAAGTTGAAGATTCCCAGTGTCTGTGACGGTCACCGTTTGGTGCGAAACAGAAAAGTCACTGTCCTGTTGAGTTTTGATGCTGAGTCGTTGCCCAACAAAGTCATGTTAGGATATATCAGTTATCCCGTAAGAGCTTTATTGCCGAATCAACTACGGTGTGTCAGGTGCCAAGTTTACTTGGCCCAGCGTGGTCCGGGTTTGGCCGGTGTAGGCCGTCATTGTAAATAAGAATTTGTTCTTAACTGACTTGCCTAGTTAAATAAAGGTCAAATAAAAAATGAAAATAAAATAGTCATGTTGCAGCAGTGTGTAGGAGGGAGAATCCTAGATGCGAGAAGTGTGCATGGGACAAAGGAATGTGTAGTATCTGTGAAAGAAGTGGTATGTCTTAACTGTAGGGGTGCCCATGTTGCTGGGGATCAGAAGTGTCCGGTGCGAGAGAGGCAGGTGGAGGTTGCCAGGGTCAGAGTTGTACAGAAGGTGTAGCATGCTGAGGCAGTGAAGAAAGTAGAGGAAATGGGTCAAGGGTGAGAGATCCCCCACTCTCCAAGGGTCTCACACACTTGTACATGTGTGAAACAGGACAAATATAAGCACCCCCTATTTGACCTTTGATGGGCCTACAAATGAAATGTGCTTCAATAAGGTTGGCTTTTTAGCGTTCATTGCCATGGTTATCAACTGTACCGCAGGAATGGAACGTAAATCACAGAAAATAGGAGTTGTGGTGGCAGCTGCAGAGAAGTATTTGGGATTATGAGGTTTTACTGCAGAAGAGTTACAGGGTGTGTTGAATGGTAGTGTTCTGTACTCCCGGGGGGGGGGGGGGGGGGGGGTAATTTATTTCTTTTTTTAATTTTCAAATTTTTGTATCACAAAGTATAATGGATTTAAACTCCAGTCCAGTTGGTGACGGTAATGCAACGTTAATATTGGATGCCAACTGCCGTTAAACCCCACTGAAGAAGAAGAAGAAGAAGAAGAAGAAGAAGAAGAAGAAGAAGACCGTGCCTTATGGGATTCCACTTCGATATGAAGCCGGCAGAGTTGCAGGCTCAGTCGAAGTGCGTACCGGAGGGGCTAACACCCTCGATCATTTTCTTTCCCTCAGCTATGGGACACTTGGCGGAGGCGTGCATGAACGCGCAAATGGAGGGCCGAGGGATGAGGGGAAGAGGGTGATTTGGGGTTCAGACACATTTGTTGTTGCATTCATGCATAGAGCTAGATAGAGGACTCATCTTTGTATCTGTTCCATTAAAGCATCTGTGACAACATTGGAATCGCCATTGAGGCAATCTCCATTTTGAAGTAGTACATTTTCTTCTTCACAATTGGATGATCCTTCCTGATAACCTGGTTGGACATGACTCCAACAGGGTCACCAGGAGGGATCAGCCAATGAAGTTGGCGGCAGGTAGCTTAGTGGTTAAGAGCGTTGTCCCAGTAACCGAAAGGTCGCTGGTTCTAATCCCCGAGCCGACTAGGTGAAAAATCTGTCGATGTGCCCTTGAGCAAGGCACTTAACCCTAATTGCTCCTGTAAGTCGCTCTGGATAAGAGCGTCTGCTAAATGACTAAAATGTAAAATGAAGTCCCACCCAGTTGACTACATTAAAATGGTGGAAGCCCCCAGTGGCGCTGCCCATGCTAACACAGCCTTTTGGCCACTAGAGCCCTCTATCATTCTCTATGGATTCATGCCACTTGTGTTCCAGGTTTTTTTAGGGAAAATCCCAGTGGAAAATCCAATCCACTGTGTGGTGAGTAGGCTAGTACAGTAGCAGTCTCTCTAATCTAGACAGACGGGTTGCCTCCCACAATGTACCAATGTAGCTGTTTCCCTAGGTCTGGGATTTCCAAGACTAGCACAGTAGTAGTGAGTGACTGTGTGTAGGCTACTGTGTAAGCTTATACAGTGTTGTAGTGAGTGACTGTGTAGCCTTAATGTGTGTGGCGTGATGAGGGATGAGTTTTAACGATGATGTTGTTGAAAACAATGCAAGCAGTTTGTTGTTGTGTGAGAGCCTCAGATCTTCTCATTCTCTATATGTATGTGTGTGTGTATGTGTGTTTGTGTTCTGCAGACAGCCGTGGGATGTATACTTAATGCAACCCTGTGGGCTCGGATCTCTGCAGTCAGCAGAGAACAGAGTGGAAAGAACATGAGCTGAGTGTGCGACTACCACACCCCTAAGCGGAACCCACACACACTCACACAAAACTCTCATATACGCATACTCACACTTGCTCCCACACAGGCCATCCAAGAGTACCATTTTGGGTTTTGGGGAATAGACCAGAGAGCAAGATGAAGGGATGAGAGAGAGAGAGAGAGAGAGAGAGAGAGAGAGAGAGCGAGAGAGAGAGAGAGAGAGAGAGAGAGAGAGAGAGAGAGAGAGAGAGAGAGAGAGAGAGATGCAGCCATATAATGAAAGAGAGAAAGAGTAGGCCATTGAAAGTGTTGGCCATAAGTGTATTTGACACAAACTTCAACAACATTGTAACACAACACCCATTTATCTTTAACTAGGCCTACTCAAAGGCCTGCATAACAGCTGCACATTCTCTATGCCAGATGAATACAAGACCTCTTCCTCTGATTGCAATGTTGGCTCATATTTCTCCCATAATATTCAGACATAAATACAGGCCTTCAGTAATGAGCCATCCAGTCGGATTTCATATGAAATATAAATTGCAGGATAATGTGGAATAATTTAGATGATTATGGAGTTGATTGCGTCCCTGATGGCTTCTAGCTTGACCGGTGGAATTGACCACTTTAACGACAGCAACGTGTTGACTGAATACTAATGAAACTGATGAGAGAGTGTGTGTGTTTGTGAGAAAGAGAGTGGTTTGGGTGATTGACTAGAGGAGGAATTAAAAACTAGCTGAGGACGGAGCCATAGATACAGAGCCATAGAATTACAGTAGGTGTAATAACAGAAACATAGGTCCCCCATCCACAGATTTGTGTGCATTGAGTGTGTCGAACACTCATTCTAATTAAGCCTTTTGAGAAAAGGTGGACCATGGGAGACATGCAGGCTTGTTGCAGGCTTGTTGATGTACAGTGAGTCAACAGGCACGGAGTGAGTCCCAATGCTAGTTCCTGTTGATTATGTTGGAATACATGAAAACTCAACATGGTCTCTGTAGCGATAGAAACCTTCTGAGAGGAGTTGAAGAGCTCTACACCAAGCTTCAATGGCCACAGGGCTACTCCATTTGCACGGCACACACACACATAGTGCTACACACGCACAGTGCTACACACACACAGTGCTACACACACATAGTGCTACACACACACACACATATTGCACACACACACTTAGCCCCGTCATTCAACAGAGCATGGCTGAGTGTGTGGGATGGGAAGGAGATTCCTTACTGGTTTCAGGGACAGCCATGAAAATGAGAGTGTGAGGGAGAGAGGAAGGAAACGGTGAAGGAGAGATGCATATTCATCTTGTGCTGTTCAATGGCTAACACTGTTTTCCATGTTGTGTGTGTCTTAGTGCCCAGAGGACAAGGAGCCAGCGGTTCAATGAATCAATACAACTACTAGGGGATGACCTACAGTATCACCCACTGCATATTAGTGTGTGTGTGGGTGTGTGTGTGTGTGGTGTGTGTATTAGCTTATGTGAGCTTAACTGTTGAAAGTGACCTTTCTGACACACACACACACACACACACACACACAGCATA